TTGTAGAAGCCAGACTGGAACTCAGTGTCTGCTGTGTGGCACCAGTTATCACAGATTACTCTGCACTTGTGCTTAGACAGGGTACTACTTCATTAGATATATTAAAAGATTATCATCAATTTAGTATAGGAAAGCAGCACTTGTGCTACTTCATTAGAAATATGATTATCATCAACCTATTGATAAAGCTATGATGAGAATTGATAAAATGCTAATACAGCCTCTACACTCAACATCATTTTGTCATATCCTGTACTAGACAATAAATGAACAGGAAACAATGTTTCAAAACAATGACTTCTATGATTTAGTCAACAAACACTGTAACTGTGACCTTTCTCTTGGTAGCTGTGTAGTACTGAAAGTGTTTGTTTTGGGGGTTTTCAAATTATGTGTATGGTAACTACTGCACTTCAATTTCATTTTTCACTTGGATGTATGTTTAACTAAAGTTCAAGTAATATCCTACAAATATATTTTCGTAACTCAACTAGTAATGAGTTTTAATCCAACTCGTCCACAGATCATTTTAATCATAATGATTTATATACTTAATTTTTTAAGTGCAAAACCCTCTTGATATTTCTAAGAAGGCTCAGAAGATTGTACGTTGAATGTATCGAAAGCATGTGTTTATGAATCACTATCAAATTGTGATAATTCAACAGTTTCTCAAAACGTGATTGTATCCTGCCCCACCATTGGCAACCAATGTGAGAACACAGGGAGTCCCTCCAACATTTCAGTACTGTCAGGCTAGCAGACAGATCCTACAGGAGGCAAGGCTTTAATAACATCATGTATTGTAAGTGATGAATGGAAATAACCAAAACAGCGAAAAACTTGCCATCTCATGAAGATGCGAATGACAACAGGCATATGTGCCATAAGTCTAAATAAACAAACAGTTGTAGCAAATGGGGACATTTTGAACCTGTTTGCCTTTCCTAGTGCCATCAGAATGAACCTGTTTGCCTTTCCTAGTGCCATCAGAATGAACCTGTTTGCCTTTCCTAGTGCCATCAGAATGAACCTGTTTGCCTTTCCTAGTGCCTTCAGAATGAACCTGTTTGCCTTTCCTAGTGTCGTCAGAATGAACCTGTTTGCCTTTCCTAGTGCCATCAGAATGAACCTGTTTGCCTTTCCTAGTGCCATCAGAATGAACCTGTTTGTCTTTCCTAGTGCCATCAGAATGAACCTGTTTGCCTTTCCTAGTGCCATCAGAATGAACCTGTTTGCCTTTCCTAGTGCCATCAGAATGAACCTGTTTGCCTTTCCTAGTGTCATCAGAATGAATTTAGAAGTACAGGTGACAAAGAGAACTGAGTGAATTGGTTGATCAGCCTGATACAGTTTCACCATAGATCTTCTGAACACTTGCTTAACTACTGAAGACATCTTTACCAATGAATTATTTACGGAGTTTCACCATAGATCTTCTGAACACTTGCTTATTAATGAATTATTTACGGAGTTTGTGCAGTTGCTAACCTTTGGTATTACCACTTAGGGAAACATATGGCCTTGGTCAAGTCTATGATGAGTAGGGCCCTTGTTGCAGCATCAAATAAGAAATTCATTGTTCTTATCTTTTCTAAGTGTTAAATATAGAGCCTGATATTTAATCAGCTTTTTAAGCTGGGGTTAGCTATACCGTCTTTTAATTGAAGTGTCTATGTGAATTGTAGTCAAGGTGATGCTCTAATCTGAAAGATTTCTGCATGAAGTCACAATATCTTGATATTTAGGGTGTCATAGAAATTTCTGAACATGTTTGTTTTAGGGCACTTTATATTCTTTATGCCCAATGCCCATTTTGAGAAAACTGTTCAAAACATTTGTATGCATTAAACTGAAGAAGGAAGTGATTAAGATGAACTATGAGTGGTAAACTACATTTATAATGAACATACTTGTAATGAACTGATGGAACTGAAACTGTTTGCATCCCCTGGCCACTTGCGGTTAGTTGTATTCAAAATGCAGATGGAAGTATGGTTGTAAACGATCTCCATTTGGTGGTCCTTGGAGTTCCTTGAAGCTGTAGCTCACTCTGTGTGATGTATTTCACCAAGGCAAGAAACATGTGATGTCAGATGGGATAGCTAATTTAGCAAGGCCTCATTACTTTTGCTATTTTTGAGCAATGAAATGCCTAAACAGTTGACAACTGGTGTTGAGATGACAAGAGGTATGACTTAACATTTCCAGTAGTCAACTGCTCCCTTTACCTCGAGGACTATTCTAGCAGTTCCAGCCTTTGGTCTCAACATTTCATGATGGTAAAACTGGGCATGTTCTTTCCATGAAGATTTCAATGAGCACCATATGACTCTTGTTCTAAAGTTCTTTGATCATGTTTACAACATTCAAGGCACCATAAGGCTTTCAAAACATTTCATGGTGGACATGTGGAGGATATTTCTGAATTCCACACTTCATTAACAATAATGTCCTATGCAATTCCCTATTTCAACTCATGCCAATATGTACCCATGGACTTTTTTTTTCAGGTGAACAATTGACTTGTCTTTGCATGTGTTTGTGATTGGTGTCATGAGTCGAACAGGATATGCTATATCCACACACCTGTTATCATCACTGTTGTGATTGATTGACAGAGATGTTGTATGACAATAGAACTGGTTTTACTTTCTTTATATCAACAAAAACAAATTGATAGAATTGATCTTCAGCAAACCATGCTTGTCGTAAGAGGCGATTAATGGGATCACCTGGTTGACACATGTCATTGAAACCCATTTGCATAGATCGATGCTCATGCTGTTGATCACTGGATTGTCTGGTCCAGACTTGATTATTTACAGGCTGCTGCTATATAGCTGGAATATTGCTGAATGTGGCATAAAACTAAACTCACTCACTCAACAGAAACACTTTCTGAAGAGATTCACTGAAGACTGGATTTTGTGTGGTTTCTAGTGTGATCATAGTTCTGGTATTTCCATAGCAAGTTTAATCTAAACTTCACAATGTTCCAATAAGACTGCTGTTTATTTGCTGTCTAACATAGCTGCAATTCTTGTTTGACAGGACCATAATGCACAGCTCAAATATAACATCTCTTGCAAAATCACCCCCTTTCAACCTTAATGCAGCAAGTTAAACATGATTAAAATTGAAGGGAAAATGTAAAGTCCGCTGATTATTAAACAATTATCGGGAAGTGTTCCAAACCATAAACAGTAAATATGAACCAAATAACCAGAGAAAAATCTAAACACATCTTTGATTATTACTTGTCAATAGGAGATTAAAAGATTCCTGTCAGTGAAATTATTGATTGAAACATTCTCAAGAGCACACATCAAAGTATGTCCATTTTATCAGCAATTAACAGAATCTTTCAGACATGAAGGTTTTTCTGGGAGTAATGTTGGCTTTATGACAGCTGCTTTGGTTCCTGCAGCAATTACCACCAATCACAGCAGCATGGTATCATACACAGTCCTCCAGCAAGTACAATACAGCTCCACTGTAATAGGATGCCATGAAAGCCAGCTATCTCTCCGGCTGTAAACTAGGAAACAGAGATATTGCATATTGGACAAGCTTGGACTTTAATAAAACATGCATTTCCTTGGTGTATTTAAACAAATTACTCCCCAGATTGCTTTCTGACTAGATTTTATGTCCTCATCACAGTGCGACTTGTTTATTTTTCATGGTTGTTTAATCTGGAGAATTGCAATTGTTCTTAACACTACAACTTTCTGTGATGACAGTCAATATTATGTAGTCAGATCATTATGATGTATCACATTTTAAGAGCTGGAAATTGTGTTGTAATAATTGTATTATGAAACAATATTTTAAGTGCTCCATCCTATTTTGTTCCGAGGAATGTGAAATAGTATCACCTCTGTAAAATGTGGGATATAGCAATCATCTTTCTGTCCATCTGTCAGCCAGCCATTTTCCATTTCCAGAGCAGAATTTTTGTTGAAACTTGCTATACAGATTAGTCTAGTAGTAAACTGGTGACGTTTCAGATGTTTTTGGTTTTTTATATACTTTTCATGACAATATGGACATTATTGAAAATGAAGGTAGTGTGTTGAATTATTTCTGATGACAGTTGGTGTACTGTTCAGTCTGGTCACTAACTGCTTCATTTTGATGATTGTCTCGGCAACATGATCTCCTTCTCTGCTGAACTGTAAGTTATGAAATACACAATGCCATTTTAGAAAGTGGTCAAATGTAACATGTGTTATATTTATTGAGAAAGTGTAATCCCAAATATAACACATGCTGAACTCTAAGTGTCAAATGAGGACTCTTGTCATGGAGGAATGAAGGAAATATTGTTCATTTATCTCTGGTGATAAGGATGAATATGGTATTCTCGATTTACAGTGATCCAGTCATCTAATTTTTCACTGCATTTTTGCCTTTATTCACAATCATGAAATATATATATTCTGATAATCCTGACAGTATATCCTGGAATATTGCTGTATGCATTGTTAAACAACAATACATGCATAATGTGTAATGGCTTACCAACAGTAACCCCACACTAATCATATGGTACTAGCCTTGTGCCAAAGCTGATTCTTCTTCTTCTTCTTCTTCTTCTTCTTCTTCTTCACCACAGATCATGATAAGATCGTAATAAGAGTTAGACAAAAATCAGATTGTTACATTTGTGACTGACACTACTCGTCTTACCTCATCTGAATGGGTCAGTAATCTTATTCCTTTAAAAGTGATAAGTCATAAGATACAGGATTTGCACTTGTCTGAGTTATAAGACCTCTTAGTCCTTGTCACAATAAAGATGCAGACATGAGACAGTTACAGTGGCTGGTTGGTTGTATGCAGACTGTGTACATGATGCATAGCTCTTTCAGTACCAACTCGTCTAGTCTACATCAGCCTGCCATGTCTGGTGATTCTGCACCATAAAACTAACTTAAAAATTTGGTGTGTGTATATAATCTGAAGCTAATGGTGATTGTGATTGTATTTTCCAGGTGTGACCATGACTATCTGGACATCTACACACAAATAAAGAGTGAACGAGAGACACTGAATCTACTGGATGCTCAGCTGGCTGGTCGCTTCTGTGGAGATTTACTTGGAGTTTACAAAACTTGATTGTGTCTAGCAAAAATTTCATCGTCCTCTCCTTCTATACAGACGCCACCAAGGAGCATAAAGGCTTCACGGGATACTATGAGTTCTTTGATGCTTGTAAGTATGTTGGTTCTTGTACACAGCAAGGGCTCCATTTCATTGCGTGATAGTTGACTTTCCATATCTCCAGCTGCATGCAGTCCATGCTTACAGCAATCCACTCAGTATTTTAGAAACCAAGTATATTGAAGGTTGTCTGCTGGTTCAATGCGTGACCTCAACTGTAGGGTGTGTTTAGGAAGGACTAACATTCAGATGTATCATCCAGGGTAGCAATGGTGTGTTCTTCTGACAATACTTCCCAAGGAAATGAGCTGACCCCAACATGCCATCAAACAGTAGGAGCAAGTCTGGTTTTGTTCATTCAGAAGTCTGCATATTTCTTATGTAGACTAATGCCCAGTCTCTGAATATACATAATTTTGATAAACACAAGTAATTCCATTTAAACTGAAAAGGAGCCCTAGTGAACCTAAGGAAATCTAGATGCTCCATTCAGGGTTTCAGCATTGCAGAAACGGCCAGGCGGAAGGAAAATAATGTGGTTCAGTAACTGTGAGACAGACTTACTAATGTTTAGTCTCTGAGAATATATAATTTTGACATAAACAGATAACTCCATTTCAATAAGAGCTCCAGTGAGATGGGGATTCAGAACCTCAGAAATGTGAACTCACTTCATTTAGGGTTATAGCTTTGGAGAAAGGCTGTGCAGAAGAGAGAATATAAATATGGTTTATGGACTGTGAGGAAGAGTAATTGCTTACGATAAATGTAACTTCTTTACATTCTTTCATTTTGATGTGATTCATCTTCATCTGAATCCTCTGATTATGCTATGTCACGAGAAATAGAAAAATAGGAATTGTCAATTCTCTCCAAAACTTTACATCTGTGTATTGTACTCTCTTTCAAACTGTTCTTCACTGATAGAACCAATTTAGACCAGTGTTTCCTTGTGTGAGCAAGAACAAGGGTACAGTAACATTTACAATAGAAGGAATGCTTTTAAAGTTAAAAGAGACATTATCTTCTTGTCTTATTTTGAAAAGAGTAATGAGAGATATAACAAGTTGTCTTACTCAAAAAAGCCATTTGTATGTTAATAGTATACCCATTCTTCAGAATATTTCCAGACTGATTGGCAAAAGTACTTTTATGCAAACTTTTGCCATCTCTTTGTTTTGTGTTCTTGAAAGAGTTTGTTGCATTTATGGATTCCTCCAGAGACTGTTCCTGATAGTTTTATTCCTATAGGAGAACTGTTTTCACACTTTAATTGTGTCTTCCTAACAAAGTGCTCCACCGAGATTGCAGTACATTATTTATTAAGCTTTTGTGAAAACATGTCGATTCTTCAGGCTCTTGATTTACTTTGATTTTCAAATCAATGAAATGAGAAGATATGGAATGTTTTGCATGGCAAATTAAAGTTCAGGCTACATTCATGATATAAAGAGGCAAAATAATACGAAATACATTTCTATCTCCATAACTGCCCAGACTGTTAGTGTAGCTTCAAGTAGGGAAATGTAAGCTAGATCCCTGTGTGTTTTCAACAAACATTATATTTTGTTTTCAGGATATAATGTAATAAAATTTACAAAAAATTTATGTGAGATCATTTCAACCATTGACACATGAAACATTGACTGATTATGAGTAAAACTTACTTTTAGATAAGATCACTCGTGATGAACATTTTCACAAGATGAATTGGTTTGTAGTTCATGACTTTGTTTTGTTCATAAAAATGTCTGTTTTGTGCTGACCTCTTTCATTTTTTTTGTTCTCATATAAACTGTGTGGTTCAAGTTACCACTAAAGTAGTATTCAACAAAGATACATGATGACCAAGAATCTCAGGAAATGTTACCGTTTCCAAGATTCAAATAACAGTATTTATGCTGCAAGGAATCATGTTGTTCGATGCCAGTTCATTTTCACTGTATCATGATCGTTGATCTATTTGTTGGAGACAAATGAACAAATACTACTTGGCATCATGATGTTCTTGGAGATCAGATCATTTACGAACTTTTTAAAAGGTTTCGCAATTTTGTTTAGTTTGTACTTTTATTCCAAACCTCTGTTTGTCAGCGGCATGATGTACAGGTTTCTATGATGAAACCAGATCATTATAATAGCAATTTTCCAAATGGCACTGAAAAAATAATGCTTTGAATTCATTATACATGTATGATTATGTGTATCTGATGAAGGACTGATGTATGTATAATACCTACATAATAGGAAAAGTTCAGTTTGTTTTTGATAGTATTGCTGACGTTATATTTGATTTGGCAAAACTCTTTTAATATTAAGTTAAAATTTTGAAAATACAATTAAGGTAGTTTTGGTTTACATTATTGTCATGAGGGCTGTATCTCTTATGCTTGATGAATAGGGTAATTTTTACCATTTCATATAATAATTGACCAAATGTTAGGTATGTAGCCTGTCATGAAGAAAAACTGTGAAAATGCTACACAACCTGCACTTAAAACATTAAGTAACATTGATTTTCTCCCACATAACAGACCGACCCACACAACTTTTTCCAAATAAAATAACAAAATATTGATCGACTCAAATATATTTTTATTTCATCTGACCAAAACTAATTGGTTAGAAAAATCAGTAAGCCATAAGACGAAATGTATGTGATAATGGTGTGGTCAGTAATTCAGACAACCTCAGTGGTGTGAAGTGCTCATAAAAATTAATATGTGTTACTAGTTTAATCATTCTGTTCATCTGTTAATCCCTCTGTTATATTAGAGAGTAGAGTCAAATATTCCTAATGGAATGGTAAGGTGGAAATGAATGTATTTGGTTCAGCTTGGCTTAAGGTGTAGTGAGCTTGTATAATAGCCTGCTTTTTTTCTCTCCATTGTGGACTAAGTGTGTTACTAGTAGAGAAGGACATGCTTACCCTTCTGGTGTCAACACTGATTGTCACTTGATGTAGGGAGACAGAGCATTGACTAAGTGTAGGTAGAGGCAGTATGCTAGCCTTGTGGTTAGAGTGTTGACTAAGTGTAGGTAGACACAGTGGGCTAGCCTTGTGGTTAGAGTGTTGACTAAGTGTAGGTAGAGGCAGTGGACTAGCCTTGTGGTTAGAGCGTTGACTAGGTGTAGGTAGAGGCAGTGGGCTAGCCTTGTGGTTAGAGTGTTGACTATGTGTAGGTAGAGGCAGTATGCTAGCCTTGTGGTTAGATTGTTGACTAGGTGTAGGTAGAGGCAGTGGGTTAGCCTTGTGGTTGGAGTGTTGACTTGGTGTAGGTAGAGGCAGTGGACTAGCCTTGTGGTTAGAGCGTTGACTAGGTGTAGGTAGGGGCAGTGGGCTAGCCTTGTGGTTAGAGCGTTGACTATGTGTTGGTAGAGGCAGTGAGCTAGCCTTGTGGTTAGAGTGTTGACTAGGTGTAGGTAGAGGCAGTGGGCTAGCCTTGTGGTTAGAGTGTTGACTATGTGTAGGTAGAGGCAGTATGCTAGCCTTGTGGTTAGAGTGTTGACTAGGTGTAGGTAGAGGCAGTGAGCTAGCCTTGTGGTTAGAGTGTTGACTAGGTGTAGGTAGAGGCAGTGAGCTAGCCTTGTGGTTAGAGTGTTGACTATGTGTAGGTAGAGGCAGTCTGCTAGCCTTGTGGTTAGAGTGTTGACTAAGTGTAGGTAGAGGCAGTGAGCTAGCCTTGTGGTTAGAGTGTTGACTAGGTGTAGGTAGAGGCAATGGGCTAGCCTTGTGGTTAGAGTGTTGACTAGGTGTAGGTAGAGGCAGTGGGCTAGTCTTGTGGTTAGAGTGTTGACTAGGTGTAGGTAGAGGCAATGGGCTAGCCTTGTGGTTAGAGTGTTGACTAGGTGTAGGTAGAGGCAATGGGCTAGCCTTGTGGTTAGAGCGTTGACTATGTGTTGGTAGAGGCAGTGGGCTAGCCTTGTGGTTAGAGCGTTGACTAGGTGTAGGTAGAGGCAGTATGCTAGCCTTGTGGTTAGAGTGTTGACTAGGTGTAGGTAGAGGCAGTGGGCTAGCCTTGTGGTTAGAGTGTTGACTAAGTGTAGGTAGAGGCAATGGGCTAGCCTTGTGGTTAGAGTGTTGACTAGGTGTAGGTAGAGGCAGTGGGCTAGCCTTGTGGTTAGAGTGTTGACTAAGTGTAGGTAGAGGCAGTTTGCTAGCCTTGTGGTTAGAGTGTTGACTAGGTGTAGGTAGAGGCAGTGGGCTAGCCTTGTGGTTAGAGTGTTGACTAGGTGTAGGTAGAGGCAGTTTGGTAGCCTTGTGGTTAGAGTGTTAACTATGTGTAGGTAGAGGCAGTGGGCTAGCCTTGTGGTAAGAGTGTTAACTATGTGTAGGTAGAGGCAATGGGCTAGCCTTGTGGTTAGAGTGTTGACTAGGTGTAGATAGAGGTGGTGAGCTAGCCTTGTGGTTAGAGTGTTGACTAAGTGTAGGTAGAGGCAGTGAGCTAGCCTTGTGGTTAGAGTGTTGACTAAGTGTAGGTAGAGGCAGTGAGCTAGCCTTGTGGTTAGAGTGTTGACTAAGTGTAGGTAGAGGCAGTTTGCTAGCCTTGTGGTTAGAGTGTTGACTAGGTGTAGGTAGAGGCAGTATGCTAGCCTTGTGGTTAGAGTGTTGACTAGGTGTAGGTAGAGGCAGTGGACTAGCCTTGTGGTTAGAGTGTTGACTAGGTGTAGGTAGAAGCAGTGGGCTAGCCTTGTGGTTAGAGTGTTGACTAGTTGTAGGTAGTGGCAGTGGGCTAGCCTTGTGGTTAGAGTGTTGACTAGGTGTAGGTAGAGGCAGTGAGCTAGCCTTGTGGTTAGAGTGTTGACTAGGTGTAGGTAGAGGTGGTGGGCTAGCCTTGTGGTTAGAGTGTTGACTAGGTGTAGGTAGAGGCAGTGAGCTAGCCTTGTGGTTAGAGCGTTGACTAGGTGTAGGTAGACACAGTGGGCTAGCCTTGTGGTTAGAGCGTTGACTTGGTGTAGGTAGAGGCAGTGGGCTAGCCTTGTGGTTAGAGTGTTGACTAGGTGTAGGTAGAGGCAGTGGTGAGCTAGCCTGTGGTTAGAGTGTTGACTAGGTGTAGGTAGAGGCAGTGAGCTAGCCTTGTGGTTAGAGTGTTGACTAGGTGTAGGTAGAGGCAGTGGGCTAGCCTTGTGGTTAGAGTGTTGACTATGTTTAGGTAGAGGCAGTGGGCTAGTCTTGTGGTTAGAGTGTTGACTAGGTGTAGGTAGAGGCAGTGAGCTAGCCTTGTGGTTAGAGTGTTGACTAGGTGTAGGTAGACACAGTGGGCTAGCCTTGTGGTTAGAGTGTTGATTTGGTGTAGGTAGAGGCAGTGGGCTAGCCCTGTGGTTAGAGCGTTGACTAGGTGTAGGTAGAGGCCTAGGGCTAGCCTTGTGGTTAGAGTGTTGACTATGTGTAGGTAGAGGCAGTGAGCTAGCCTTGTGGTTAGAGTGTTGACTAGGTGTAGGTAGAGGCAGTGGGCTAGCCTTGTGGTTAGAGTGTTGACTAGGTGTAGGTAGAGGCAGTTTGCTAGCCTTGTGGTTAGAGTGTTAACTATGTGTAGGTAGAGGCAGTGGGCTAGCCTTGTGGTAAGAGTGTTAACTATGTGTAGGTAGAGGCAATGGGCTAGCCTTGTGGTTAGAGTGTTGACTAGGTGTAGATAGAGGTGGTGAGCTAGCCTTGTGGTTAGAATGTTGACTAAGTGTAGGTAGAGGCAGTGGGCTAGCCTTGTGGTTAGAGTGTTGACTAGGTGTAGGTAGAGGCAGTGGGCTAGCCTTGTGGTTAGAGTGTTGACTTGGTGTAGGTAGAGGCATTGAGCTAGTCTTGTGGTTGGAGTGTTGACTAGGTGTTGGTAGAGGCAGTGAGCTAGCCTTGTGGTTAGAGTGTTGACTAGGTGTAGGTAGAGGTGGTGAGCTAGCCTTGTGGTTAGAGTGTTGACTAGGTGTAGGTAGAGGCAGTGGGCTAGCCTTGTGGTTAGAGCGTTGACTAGGTGTAGGGAGAGGTGGTGAGGTAGCCTTGTGGTTAGAGTGTTGACTAGGTGTAGGTAGAGGCCTAGGGCTAGCCTTGTGGTTAGAGCGTTGACTAGGTGTAGGTAGAGGCAGTGAGCTAGCCTTTTGGTTAGAGTGTTGACTAGGTGTAGGTAGAGGCAGTGAGCTAGCCTTGTGGTTAGAGTGTTGACTAGGTGTAGGTAGAGGCCTAGGGCTAGCCTTGTGGTTAGAGCGTTGACTAGGTGTAGGTAGAGGCAGTGAGCTAGCCTTGTGGTTAGAGTGTTGACTAGGTGTAGGTAGAGGCAGTTTGCTAGCCTTGTGGTTAGAGTGTTGACTAGGTGTAGGTAGAGGCAGTTTGCTAGCCTTGTGGTTAGAGCATTGACTAGGTGTAGGGAGAGGCAGTGGGCTAGCCTTGTGGTTAGAGTGTTGACTAGGTGTAGGGAGAGGCAGTGGGCTAGCCGTGTGGTTAGAGTGTTGACTACATGTAATAATAATACTACGTGACTATTGCTCAAGGTGACATAAAACAATAAGCACTCAGCTGTGCTGTAAAGTGTAAGGCAGGTAGCAGGGTACATATATGGTTCATCTGTACCACCCTGGGTTGTTCTGCTGACTGTATAGATGTGAATCTGTGAATCTGCCAACTCACTTTAAATAGATGTTGTTACACTCAAGTGTTTTCATCTCCAGTTGTAGTAGCACCTTGACTTAATGGTCTGTTCATAAAATCATTCAACGCAACCCTGCTATGTTACCGGTATGAATATATCATGGAAGGCATAGACAGAGTGAGCTGCAGCACCATGCTGGGTTTTTTCCAAAATATATCATGGCTGACACTTGCACAGTTTCAACAAACACTTCATTGCTCTCCCAAGCAATATCTCACCATAATTCAAACTTGAGATGTTTTTAAGAAAAAGTTTAATGGTATTTTCTCAGTAAGTATATAAGTTCATGTATATCTATTTCATGTGGAAACAATAATTGAACATGTCATCCAAAATAACTTTAACTTATCAAATGTAATCTTGAAAGAAAATAGAAAAATACTGAATTAAAATGAAAATTTACTGTTAAAGCACATTTACAATATACGTGTACATCCCCCCTAACATAGAAGTACCTCCATCCAATAAGAGAACCTAGACTGTATGGATTGATTTAACAGTTTTCCCCATTCCAGCAGTGTACGATATAGGAACCGAGGCGCCACCAGCCATGTGCGGCTACACCATCCGCAGCGAGAACAGGAAGACGGGCTTCATCATGTCCCCTACCTTCCCCGGCATGTACGCAGACAACATGTTCTGTTACTACAAACTCCAGGGGAAAGCCGGAGAGAGGATCAAACTCCACTTCATCGAGTTCTCCCTCTACCATGGAGAGGAATAGTAAGTCACTGGATTCTACAATGTGACAGATAGCAAGGAAATATGACACCACACTTTTTTATACACTCCAGCTCAGGTGATCTGCTACCTGATGCACAAACTACATGCAGTTACTCCAACTAGATCTATCTCCTGGGAAACCTCTTTCAGGGTCTCTGGTTACCCTTAACTGTTTCCACTCATACTTAAGAGAATAACAATTTGAAGTATAATGTTTTTGACTTCTGTTTAGAATCAATACAATATCAGATTTACCCATTTGATAAGCTTTTGGGAGCCTTAACTACATTAGATTTTGAAATTAATTTGGGAAAATGTTCTATATTTCCAATTTGTGTCTTAGGAACCTACACTGTGACATTTAATTGTCACATTTTAAGCCATCAAAGAATATGCAGCTGATTCCAAACTTAACAAAGTTTGATTTTATTTCCCAAGAGAGTTGAGTGTCAATGAAAGGGTCTACAGTGCACCAAATATTTTATGGGAGCTTCAGGCAGTATTTTTATATTGTATGCCTTGTTTTTACTGTATGTGTGTGAAGGTCACAGAATGGCTGACAGCGTCATGAAAAGCACATTTTTTTTAAGGTGCTTTAGTAATAAAATATCTACAACATCTGTATATGATGTCAGAATAGGATGTCACCATGGTAACAGAATATGTTTTAATATTGAAAATCTCGCAAATCATGAACCAGGTTTCAGGATTGTAGTAGTCATATTTGTTAGGTATAGTAATAAATCCAAACCCCACAATTATAATAAATGTTTGTCTCTTTGGGTCTTTGAAAAGCATTTAGAACTTATGATGACATGAAAATTTGATTGATACCTTCTGTTTCGTTTGTAACTTCATTTCATGGTACATTCTGGCACCTTTGTCAATGCTGATCCATCTTTCATGGCTTACCCTCAAATGTGGCCTCAAGCAATAGTTGCTCTCCTTAAAAGTTGAATGTTTGAATGTCTCTGTTTTGTTTTGAACATATTCTATTCACACAAGATGAAGTGGATTGGGTACAAGTTCTGCAGCATAGGCTACCTGCTCCCAGATGTTTACACAATTGATTTACAATGTATACTGTACATAAACCGAACTGTACGAAAGACAAGGAAACAAAACACAACACGTACAGAGTGAACAACACAGTTTACATGTATTTCTTTGTATAACATATATATAACCCATGAAGATCTGGGTCAGAATTGGTCTTCAGCAAACCATGCTTGTTATATAAGAGGCAAATAATGTGATCAGGCTTGCTGACTTGGTTGACACTTGTCATCTTGTCCCGTTTGCTCATGCCTTTTGTCACTGGATTGTCTGGTCCAGAATCAATCATTTACTTGAAGCTGTGTCTCTTTCTACTTTTAACAATTCACATTTAAAGAAAAATATTATATACATTTTCACATTTACTACCACACAAACATTCAACTATGTCTGTAATTTCTAGTCTACATAATTCACTATTTAACTGACATTAGGTGTTAGCTTAGTATGTGTAATATTTAGGTTTTGGCCACAGAAGAAGTCTTTACGTTCTTCAAACTTCTATTATGGATGACTAGAAATCTTGATGTTTTCAAATGATTCTTTGTATGTATCAGCATCTCTACTGATGAAACCTGTGAAGATCTAGGTTAGAATCGATCTTCAGTAACCCATGCTTGTCGTAAGAGGCGACTAACGGGATCGGGTGGTCAGGCTCGCTGACTTGGTTAACACATATCATCATATCCCGATAGCGTTGGATCGATGCCCTACTATTTCAGGTGAAAGATATCTATATGTTTACGCTGCTGTGGCATCATGTGTGAAGATGTACATTTCTTGTTCCAGTTGTCCATATGATTATGTGAAGATCTATGATGGATACACAAACGATGCCCCTGTAATAGGCACATTCTGTGGCAACTATGACAACACAACTATCCTGTTCTCATCTGGAGAAGCATTGCACATAGAGTTTCTTACAAGTCAGGGGAGGGTGTTGTTCGATAAGCAGCCTCTTGAAAACAGTGGTGATTTCACAGTACCAAGAAAAGGATTTAACATAACATATAAATTCAGTGATCAGATTGTGAAGTTAGGTAAGTATACCAAAGTAGAACTGTGTATATACATCTGCCATAATGTACAGAATTTGTACATATAATCTGTAGGAGGTAAACTTGGCTATACACTGTAATATCGGAGTCCCTGGGGTAAACTGTGTGTCAGTATTGGTCCATATGCACCTGTGATTCCTGTAATAGGCAATTGAATGGATTGGGGTTTGGGGGTCAGACTTGGTTGATTGCATGTTATTGTACCCTAACATCATCCTGGCTCACTACGTCAATCACTGGATTGTTTGGTTGGTTAATGACATACCTCCATCAAATGGCTGGCATACTGCTGATTGTATGGTGCTAACCAACATGTAATCAGTATGAGAGTTAGTGTTTGTTACCACTCATCACTTACTCATAGCAGACCGCCTCTGTGGTGTAGTGGTTAGAGCGTCCGCCCGGAGAGCGGAAGGTCGCGGGTTCGATCCCCGACAGCGTCATACCAAAAGACGTTAAAATATGGTACTTGTTGGTCCCTGCCTGGCACTCGGTATTAATGGGTCGGCTTGGAGTCAGTATCTGTGTCTGATTGGGGTATTCATGCTTCACTGGGGCATTGTATCTCAGTGGGCTAGCACTATAAAACCAGCTTAAGTCTGGGCTAGTACAAGCAGCCGCACATACACATACACACGCATGCACGTCGTCATATGAGCAAAATATTCTCAAGCATGACGTTAAAATCAATTTCAACTCACCTCATCTACTCATAGCAAATTGAATAAGACAGGATTAATGTTTTTAATGTTATTCTTGTTCATTACTTTGTCAAGTATGACAATTTTCTATATTTGCCAAATTGCAGAAGAAAACACATTTCTATTTCAGACTTTATACTCCCTGATGCGGAACACTTAATAGGAACAGGTATGTGGCAGTGTGTTGATGGTGCAACATGGAAGGGATTCTGAGTTCGAACCCTGTACTGCATGCTTGGTGTAATTACCTCTACAGTGTGGAGCTCGAACCTGTTCCTAGAGTCATCTTAGTTCCAGGATTGTCGTTGGTCTATGTTAAAGTATGAGAGTTGTGACTGTCTAAGCACAACAGTTGTTTTATGGAACTGGGTGGGGTAACATGGCTGATTGTGTGTCATCATGACCTGACAGCATAAGATGTTGATCATGCTATTAACCTTTGGTTTATGTAACCAAGACACAATCATCTGCAGACTGTATTATGGCTGGAAAATGCTGACTGTAGTACTGATATACACTGAACATAATTTTAGAAAACGTTTATTTAATAAATCATGATACAAGTTTTTAGACTTACAAATTGTGGATAGTTCCTTTTTAAGAATATTGATATTTCATTGGTAGATTGACCATCACCTATTATCTAAAATGTATTTCTATGTTAAGTTATCACAAAAGCCAAGAATTTCAGTTTTGTATGGGCTGATATGCTCAAAATATCACAGCTGACAGGGACTGGCCCTGAAAGCAGATATAAGATACCACAGATGTAGACGAAGCTCATGAGTGCTGGAATGTATTTTTCAATAACAATGTTTGGTGATTGTGAAAAGATAGTGTTTTGTCTTATAGAAATATCTGAAAAGGATGAGAAATTAACTATGCTTGTTTCATCATTTCTCCCCCTCTCTGTGTATGAGAAAATACTGTTACATTGGTATGGATAGTCTCTCTGACCAAGAACGTTATATACAAGTCTAGTATCAGAATGTGAAAGATTCTTCGTTCTGTGAGATATGTTATTCATCAATGTTTAAAAGTAATTTGGCAGTTTCTTCCATTCCAAAGACAATATGTAAGTTGCTGTTGTGATTTCATTCACATGGTTTTTATTTCATTGCAGAATGTGACCAACGAATAATGAGTAAGCAAGAGACCAATGGCACAATAAAGTCCCCTAATTACCCCGTCTCCTTTCCACAAAACATCACCTGTCGGTACTACCTGGATGGCCTCATGGACAGACAGCATCTGGAGAAAGCAAGGATAATATTCTTTGATTTCGACATTCCAGGGAATATGCCTTAGTAAGTTGATGAAATGGATGCCACATTCTTTAACTGGAGCCTGGACTTGATGAGTGGGAAAGACATAAGTGATACAGTCTCTTGTCTCTTTATCCTGTATCTCTGTTGTGTATTATATACAGATTGTGGCAGACGAACGTTACCAGAAAAAAACAAATGATAACAATTTGATGACGGTTTACGTTCGGATTAAATATCTTCTCTGAATTATTTTAATTACATCTGTCATTAATGTAAACAATATGGGGCAATATGAACGTCGCATTTCTACTACCAACGTAAGTTTAGATCAGTACATCCAGATGAAGCTGAGTAGTCAAGCGACATTCCACGATTGCATTGTGGGAATGTAAACATTGCGAATGTTACCGTGTCACTGAAAACTTGTGAGTCGAAATTGACACATTTTAACCGTCATAAAACATAAACGTAATGTTTCCACCAGTGATGTTAGCTGCGTGAAGCAACTGCAAACCAAGAAACAGGATGCAAAGGAGTAGATTACTGTAGGAGGTCGTACGAGGCGATGACAACTGACATGCATCATGACGTCGCTTACATTGTGACGTAATGTAAAATGGTTCGATTATGAGGGGGCACACTAGAATGGCGCAGTGACAGGATAATGTCATTCAATTGTTACGTCATCAAAAAACTATACCTTTATTGTCTGATAATGTATTTTTTTGTGGATTGTTCTAACAGCTAGGCATCTTAGAATAGTGGGATATACAGTCATCCCTTCACGCCTACCGCGATAGCACCAATTTCACATATTTCTCAGCAATCACGAACAGATTACAGCCTTGTCATCCATTGACCCCAAGACCCGCGTTATTGACTCATTGAAGTCATATTTGACAATTAATTGCCAACATTTTGTTTTGCAATCAATGTGGCACGTACCACGCAGGAAGTCAGCGGTGACTTGTCAAACTGTCTCCTACGTAAAATGTATCCAGCCAGGTAACCCAAAGTGCTTAGCAATGCTCATTATTATGTTAAATATGGTGGTGATGTCAGGTTTGCCAGGAACAGACTGTGGGATATGTCTGGATTACTGGTGGTGATGTCAAACAGTTGTCATCATGGTACACAGTAGAGACATGTGGGACACAGCTGGAAAGTAGTGACTGTAAATCACTCTCAGTACACTTATAATTCAACCAGTTGTTCTAATGACAATACACTGGACTGTAAATAATGTTTCAGTTGTGCACTGGGCTACGTTGGTCTCAATGAGGACAGTCGCCTCAAGGATGGAACTGTGAAGGAGAAATTCTGTGGGACACTGAGACCGCCACCTCTAACAAGTCAAGGTCCTCGTCTGGTCCTGACCCTCGACACTCGAGGGGCGGTCCAAGGCGGGCGCTTCATGGCCAAGTACAAGTTTATTACAGGTAAGCAATATCGTGGTGGAAGACACCTACATGACAAAACTTTCTATAGACAACCAAATCCATGTGCATGGTCATCTGTGTTAGTCCAGGCGTAGACTGGAATGATTGAACATGTTTGGAATATCTCTGGCTGTTTGAATGGGAGTGCTTAGGGTCAGATTTGGTCAATATATATTTTTTTGATACCTAATACTTAACATTGGAGGATTGAATAAAGTTGAATCAGGTTTGTACAAGTTTGTAATGACTGAAATTTCAGGTCATGAAAACAATTCATTGAAGATTTGGTTTGTTTTACAAAATAGAAATAAGAAAATATAGAAACTTGGAAATGTGATGTTGCCTGTTCAATGCCCATTCAGTGTTCATGGCAAATGTCAAACAGTCAACTCTTGTTTTGGTGCAATTAAAGGGTCCAAATTGTGTATTTACACAGATGACTTCCTTCTGAGTAATCCAACGTTTTATCCCCAACAACCTGTCATTGATCATATGAATGGCTGAAGTAAATACATTTTAGCCTTCTTGAAAACATAGCCAAAATTTGCAGCTCTTCAGTTGATCATTTGTAAGTTAAATTCTTGTTCATAATTTGTATACTTGATAGGCTGATCAGTCAGCCCTGCAGTGAGAACCAGTAATCCATCAAAGTGTCTCCAGGATGTGAATCAAGGACCAGTAAATACATTAATGGTTAGCCAGTAGTCTGGAATGATTCTATATTGTACCACGGCCAGTGTATAACTTCTTTAAGCATTAAAAGCTGGTATGATGAAAACGAACAAATTTTATGGATTGACAATTTTTTTATTGCCATAGATGTGACGTTTCAGTGTAGATGCTAACACTGTTATCAATCCATAAAGTTTGTTCCTCTTCTTGACCAGAGTATAGTTTTCCATTGCTCTGTCCTGATGATCAGGTGCACCAAACAAGAGTTGACTGTAGACTTCTCTACTTTCAGTGTAATTAACACTTAGTTGTCATCTTCAGAATAATTTCTTCTTTTTATTCCAGATTATTCAATCCCAGGGACCCAGATCTCAGAGGGTCAGTCTACACTCTTGTACAATTCTGCAGCTCTAGATAACAAATACAAACCCTCCATCTTTAATCAATCCTCAAGTGTTGTGTATGTGATACTGAGAGTTTGACATGGAGGCACACATTCCCTCCCATAATTCACAATTCCATTTAAAAAGTGGTCATATACAATATTTGGGATTACACTTTCTCAGCAGTGTACCGATTCTAATACTTTGGGGGAATGAGTCCCATCTGGGATTTGAACCCACACTTTCAGAGAGAAGCACCTAATCACCAGCACACAATGTCAGTGATATAACCAACTCAACCTCCATGGTTTCCAAATGTCCCGGATTTGACTCAGCTCAAGAAGTACTATAATTTTCACTTTACTGGGAAGTGTAATACCAAATGTGACATGTTACAACACAACATCTTGCTCTAATCACTACATAAACTATTTCAAACATGTTCAATCACTGAAATTAGATACCTTTGTGCCATGGATAAACACTAGTTTTACACAAGTTTTTCTCAGCTTTAAAGCCAACACCACATATTTTGGTCAGGTGTAACAACTGACGTCTCAACATTTTGTGTATTTACAGTAGTTGTCATCTTCAGGGTAATGTTTTCTGTTTATTCCAGATTATGCAATCCCGGGGACTCCGATCTCAGAAGGCCAGTGCAAGTTCTTGTATGATGACACCAGTGGGCAGTCTGGGACGTTCAATACGCCTCGTCATCCAGGCAACTACCCTACTGATCTCACCTGTGAATACATCTTCCGACCCGGTCATGATGTCATTGTTCTCATATCATTCGACTCATTTGATCTAGATGCAAGACAACCAAATCAGATGGGGTGTGTACTCTTTCTAATCATGTCGGTTTTCTTCCCCCCTGACTGAAAGTCAAGTTTCCATATATCTGTTTGTTGTCATTCAATAACATCTCAGAAACCACTACAACAATGAATGGGAAACTTCACGTATTTGTGACACCCGACAATCTGGTTTTCAATATGGCCCCCATGGTATCCATATTCATTTTAGACTTGTGTAGTTTTTAGTCTGGTTCAGCGTATAGCGTGAGGTGAGGTGAGGTGAAATTGGGTTTAACGTCGTGCTTGAGAATATTTCGCTCATATCACGGCGTGCATGCGTGTGTATGTGTATGTGCGGCTGCTTGTTCTAGCCCAGACTTAAGCTGGTTTTATAGTGCTAGCTCACTGAGATACCATGCCGCAGTGAAGCATGAATACCCCACTCAGACACAGTATACTGACTCCGAGCCGACCAGTCCTGGTTGTACCCTATAATGCCGAGCGCCAGGCAGGGACCAACAAGTACTCAGCGTATAGCACACTTTGCTTTGACTTTGATTTGATCTTTGTATTTCAACAGTACTGAAGGCTGAAGCTTTGTATCACCATTAGCCACACTCAACCAGTGTCATTTAAATTGTCATGAAATCTGGTGGTTGTAGTTGTTGAGTTCACTATATATGTTCTTATTTTTAATGCATGTATTTACCAATTGATATTTTTACAATTCCACAAAATTCTCTGAAAATGAATTCCCCCTCACTGTAATCTCCGACGAAACACCCGAACCAGTGCAGAAACCTCCCATCCTTGTACCCACCAATTCTGAATCTGGAAGTGATCAAGGAGTCTAGATCTGATACTCTGTAGGTCAGCCATAAAAACCATCTTTATGGCTAATGGTTTTGTAGAAAATGCAATGAAATATGGTATTTGTTTTATCATTTGTTGTATTCAACACATAAGTTACGTTCCATTCCGTTCCGTATTTTTCCAGTATTAAAAAATGTTGACAATTCTTTGAAACTGCATTGTTTGTTCTTAAAATTGACAGACTTAGGGAGCTGAACGTAGCACACAAGTTTGTCCAGATTATGACTTCATATTTTCCATTAAAGTGTACTGCTGTCTCAATGTTTCCAGCAACTTGTGTTTAGCTGCTGTGTTTCTGTCTTATTATCTGTTGAACAATTTAAACTGCTTACTACATACCCACGTAAACTAAGTGCCATGTTACTTTTTTATACATTTTATTTACTTGGTTTGCAAATTATTTTCCAAAATTGTCAGCTCTATTTTCTTAAGAGGTCTCACAAACAAAATGGTCTTTCAAGTGAAATAAAAACAGAAGTGAAAATATCTCCAGGGTCTGTTTTCTTAAGTGATCTTTGAAACAAAATCGTCTTTCAAGTGAAATAAAAACAGGAAAAGTGAAAACACATTTTTTGAATGTTAAGTCAAAGGGTTACTTCCAAGAATTTGAAAACAATTTATATGAATTACTGGATTGGTGAAGGGAAGAAAATCTGATTTGGGGATGATAGGGTGAAAGTGTTGTTCGTTCCATGCAATATTGATCTGTTTAAATCTTCCTGTCAATACTGTGTTATGTATTGATCTTACACTGCCATATAACAGCTGAAAAAGGTTAACGGGCTTGGGGGACTTTGTTCCGTATTATGGGTTGATGGTCTGTAAACCAAATAAGTAAAATATGCATAAGTATTGAAAGTTGACTCGAATAGGTCACAATGAGAATTGTCAAAGAAATTGAGATTTTGGCATCTCAGCTATGGTGGTTCAGTTATTATTTACTGCAGATATACTGTTGTTTTTCTTCTGACAAGATTTACCTAATTTTCTGTAAGGTTAATGCAATAATACTGAGTTTGAATAGAAATGCAATTCTGTTTTTCATGTCGTTTAAATGCTTACAAGAGGTTTGTTTGATTTTGACTTTTCCAATTGAATTTATGCATACAGAACCAGAAAAACAAACAAGCATGTGGTCATGGATGCAAGATGCATGGATGGTCATTTCAGATTCCTATTATATCAATTTGTGAAGCATCAAGTTGTACTAAATTACTAACTCCACTGTGTGGATCCATAGCTCCTAGCATAGGTACACAACTCTGTTTATCAATTTAGTCAATTTAGCAGTAAACAAATGATGTATTAAGAATACTGGCAAATAAATGTTATCGCCTGATGCCACAACCTTCAGTTCCTCTGTTGATACATTGCAGGTGCCTGGGCAGGGACTACCTGGAGATTCTTGAAGAGGGACATACGAAAAATAATTTCTCACTTGTAGAGAGGCACTGTGGTGAAATAGCTCCCGGCCCTTATACATCATCAAGGGTCGTGAAGATTGTCTTCCATTCCAACAAGTCCATTACCAAGATGGGCTTCAAGGCCAGATACTACTTCCAGACAAAGGATGAGATATATGGAAGTAGGTTTATGTGTGGAACTGAATGTTAGATGAATACATCACAGTTAGATAGTTTCTGTCAGCGAATGATTGGAGTTTCAAGTGTTTATTTTTTCACTGCTTATCAGCCTTCAGCTGAAACTCATAACCTTGACACTTGTAGTAGGTCATTGCATGATGGGTCTGTGCTTCAAGGGTCAGGTGATTAGCCTGTGTAATTGTGTTTATGGTATTGTTAGGTATTGTAGGATGTTTGAATCATTTCTCCTGGGCTAGCAAATGGATTTTTTGGTCCAGCCAGCCAAACTATCAAATGTCAGCTCAATCATCTACCATACAGTCAAGAAGGACTTCTGGTGGTTTCTACTGGTGAGTGTTGTCTTCTGTTACCTGTCTATCATCCTGTTTCAGAATGTGGAGAACATGTAATCAACAGTCAGGGTTCCGGAGGAATAATAAAAAGTCCTGACTATCCCCGAAAATACAAGTCAAGGACATTTTGCCAGTGGACTATCAGAGCCAGTAAACCTACCAATAAAATACTTATAGAAACAGCCACCTTCCAGTTAGAAGGAATGATGAAACGTAAGTATACCTGAATTCTTCTCTCATTTTAAGCTTGTCATTACTCAGGAAGATATAGGTTAGAATTGATCTTCAGCAAGCCATGTTTGTTGTAAGAGGCGACTATTATGATGGGTGGTCAGGCTCGCTCACTTGGTTGACAAATGTCATCATATCTCAATTGCATAGATTGATCCTCATGCTGTTGATCACAGGATTGTCTGGTCCTGACTCGATTATTTACACCATATAGCTGGAATATAACTAAACTCATTCACTCACTCACTCACTCATCATGATATTGATATGCACTGCAGTAAGTGCATGACATTCATGAATTCATCAGAATTGATTAATTGAAATATGGCATATACGATAATCAAAGGAACTTTGATAGTCATGTTTCAAATCTGCACTTTATGTGAACTTTGGAATGCAAATATTCCAGAAATGCTACAGAGCCTGGTGGCTCCTTATCTGTTGAAACATAAGTCTGCTTTCACATGATGTTATATTTGCTGATAGGTTAAACTGTTCAGATTTTATAGACATTTGGAGTGTACTCATGTACAGATGTATATTGTGAATGTACACATTGTGTATCCATTGAGTCTGACACACCTTTCACCATAATCTCACTCACGTATGATCCTGTTTCTTTGCCCTCAATAAGTTCAGTTAGAAAATCAATCTACATGGATTGAAGCTTGCTCCTTGATAGCAAATGAAGAAATTTGACGCTATGTTTCAGAAACAGGCTGCCAGAATTCTGTGATGAGAATATACGGTGATGTCAACTCCGCGCAGCCTGTCGAAGTGTTGTGTGGCTCAATGAACTCGAAAATAGCTTTCCTTTCTACAGGAGACACGTTCAGAATAACGTAAGCGTTTACTTCACATTGCTGATTTAAGGATCAGTAAGGATGATCCAGGTTTGATGGCACAGTTAACTGCAGCATCATGATTTCAGAATCATTGCTTATCCCTGTCATTGACAGAGTAGTGTCCCTTGGTTTTGAACATGATCAGCTGATATGCATAAAAACCCAAGTTTCTCTGATTTTGATCCATGATTTGTCAGTGTAAAGGTTGTCATGGTTACATGATGTACCATTTGGGGTTTCTGTATTTTGAGCCTTGAGATGGCTGAAATGTTCAAGGTTATGCTTAAGACCTTGTATAGGATTTTGCAGTTTTTGGTTTTACAACATCATTGCTATATATTATTTCATTCAGTTCTATTTGATTATGAATAATGGTATTTATATTGTCATTAGTATGATTATGTATTGTTGTTTATTACCATTTATAGGAAAAAGCAAGTTCATAAAAATCGTACATGCGGCAGTGCAAATATTAAAGTCACCCTACCACGAATGTAACAGCTGAAGGTTGTTGATGTTGTTGAGAATTGCTGTTTCATAAGACAGCCGTTTTGATCAGTGCATTTCTCTATAGGAATAATGACCGCCTCCGTGGTGTAGTGGTTAGAGCGTCTGCCCGGAGAGCGGAAGGTTGCGGGTTCGATCCCCGACTGCGTCATACCAAAAGACGTTAAAATATGGTACTTGTTGGTCCCTGCCTGGCGCTCGGCATTAATGGGTACAACAAGGACTGCTTCCTGCGGCATGGTATCTCAGTGGGCTAGCACTATAAAACCAGCTTCAGTCTGGGCTAGTACAAGCAACCGCACATACACATACACATGCATTCACGTCATCATATGAGCGAAATATTCTCAAGCACGACGTAAAACCCAATTTCACCTCACCTCTACAGGAATAATGGGTAAAACTGTTCAATTCCTGTGTCTCACTGTTTTAATGAAACTTGTGTAAGAGTTCATACATTACCCTCACTCTGACACTCATTGAATGACACACATTCTTGTATAAGAATCTCTATTTATGATAGCAATATTTCATTTACACAACGTTCACCTGGACTTAACCTGTTCCAGATTTGTGACATCATTTCGGTCACTTGGTGGTAAAGGATTCAAGTTATCATGGACAGAAGTCAGTGAAGATGGTAGGTGTTAACATCAAGTGTTTGTGAAGACAATATTAATTTGTCAAGTTGTAGGTTAAAGTGTCATGTCCCAGATCAGTCAGTTGTTAATAGATGCAACAAACATTATGCAGAATTCACTGTAATGGGCTTTGGTCTAAATTTGGGCATTTCAGCCAAGCAATTAGATCTTCATGAACTAAAGATGTAACAATACTTATGTAAAGATATAATTATCTATATTGTGAAAGAAAACTGAATTCTTGATTTGGGTTTTTGTTTAGTAGAGATGATAAGTTAAACGTTCTTGCAAATCTTGTTTTCTGTCCAATCTGGTATAGGGCTCACTGAAGCATATATAACACAATCAGAACAACTGTATGTACATGTACCAGCAATATGAGGGTGGAACAGTCGTGCAGTACTAATATTTTTTGTTTTAAATATCCTTAGCAATGCTTCTTAAAATGATTAACTGTCTGAACATGCCATCTTATCAAAGCTGTCTCATGTTTTTCAAATGACTAAAGAAGACAGGTAATGAAATGGAGATCCAGTAAATGAGCTCTTCCATCAGAAACTATAAAATCCAACTTTCATAGTTAAATGTGACCTTTTGCACACTGGACAACACATATTTACCCAATCAGCACTCCCTCACACTTAAACTGTATCCCCACTCCTCCTTACAAGATACATAAGGATATGTATATAGTCAAGCAACCCCATAATTTTCAGACGTTACGGAACGTGAAGTACCATTTGCAACATGGTATCTGGGCTCATTTTGTTGGATGTGTTTGAGTGAAGTTTCCATGTATATTTTCATGTGCAAACGCATTGGGTTCCAATCTAATTACCTACGAAGAAATCAACATGTACATATGGGGTTGCTTAAGTTTTTATGATCAGTATATTATATTTATACAATGCTGACTTTATGTGTTCAGATATCAAGTTTTGAAATATTCTGTTTCAGAGACCTGCTTTGGTTTTAAGTGTGCTAAAAACAACTACTGCATATCATCTGAACTGAAATGCAATGATTTACCTAACTGTGGCCGAAGTGATGAATCGGATGAGACAGCTGAATGTAAGTTGAAAGGAGTTGTCTCCCTTCCACCAAGAACTGAGGCTGAAGGGGTCGTTGTCGGCACGGGTACTACAGATGTGTACCCCAGGTACGTTTCTGTATACAGATATGTACCCTAGCCAAAAACTGAATACAGAAACGTACCCTTGGACGATTCCATTCTGCATTGTGGAGTTTTCTTGATCGGAACTGTCATACTGTTGTATTAGATGCATTTGATTGCGTTAAATAAGAGCATACATAGTAACGAATATTTCACGGTGCACAACGTACACCACTCGCAATCAACTGAACTGGAACAATTACATACGCTTTTGGTTTGGGGTTGCAGAATATGGACTCGTCCGTCATTTAGGGTACCGGGTATGCTTCTGTAGTTTGTCTTTGTTTAGGGTATATGTCTGTATACATAAACGTACCTGGGGTACATATCTGTAGTACCTGTGCCGACAACGACCCCTTCAGCAGAACTGAGTATCTTATTGCAACCTAGTTATGGGAGTCCATTACATGAATACATGGGCCAGAGTAGCAGTAGCCATCATGGTAGAGTCACATGATAGTTGGTTTGGTAACCACACCTAGATGTATATTGAGTCAGAGGTGCTATTTGTACACAACTTAGAAAGGATTGAATGGTCAGTATTATGTATGTAGCTGACATTCAGTTGAAGATACAATTTTGCACATGTAAACGTTTATGCCAGGATCTGATCATTTGACGCATTTTGCGAGCTCCATTCTGGATGGATTCATGACGACTAACTAGACACACAGTGCACTGAATGTTGGATCGGCACTTGTATTAATACTGTATCATGTGCTTCAGTAAGATGCAGAGGTAAATTAGATCTAACATAGGACGTCAAATATAACAGTTGATACACTATTTTGTATCAGTATTGTACCAAGATTGAAGAACTCAGGGGACTAGACCTGAAATGCACTGTGTCCATTCAATAATAGAATGAAGTGTTTGGAGCAAATAATGCAGAGACAATACAACCTTGATGTAGGTGTGATGTTACCAATCTCTTCTTTAGGGGAACTGAAAATGCTTTTTGATTATGATGAAAAGAAAGTAAGAAATGCTAAGATATTGTGCAGTAGGTTTGATTCCTTTGTTGATAAATTTTAATTGTAAACACCAGAAACCAATCAATCTCTTTGACCCACATAAGCAGATTCCAGTATCTGTCATGAAACACTGGTAATAAAACTAAATGAATGTATCACTACAGAAAGGAAATATGGTGCTTTTCTGCTGGGTAAATGGCCAGTTATAAAGCCTTTCCATACCCATATACACCTAAATCTGACCGCGGGAATGATGTATGGATTTCACCATTTGTTTTGGAAAAACATGTTTTCGTGAATGAGAATACGACCATTTGGTTGTTTTTTTAACATTTCTGAGAAGACCCATGTTCTTAGTCAACTGTTATATAAGCTTTGCCTTTGATATTTTTAATAGTTGAAACATTACAACTGCACATATGTGATATTATTTAGTGACAAAATATTATTGTATGTATTGTAACTTAAAGTAGGGTGTCATTTTTGAGCAGTGTTTGCTTTGCCTCTGCCAGTTTGTGTTCCTGTACATGGAGTAATGTTGTTCTGCACAGGGTATAGTTGATGCTCACCTTTTCTTCTTTGTTTCAGCTCGTTATGCATATTATGTTGTTCAGCTCAGAATATTATGTTTTGTTTAATTTGGGGATGAAAATAGAAGTGCACTATCAGATCATGTTGGTAAAAAATATATTTCATAATACATAATTTAACTTATCAAACAGTGTATGGTGATAGGGAACATCTGATTTCCTAGGTGTCCTCTCCTTAAAGCGCTCGCTCATCACAGTGAAGACCTGGGTTCGATTCCCCATATGGGTACAATGTGTGAAGCGCATTTCTGGTGTCCCCCGTCGTGATATTGCTGGAATATTGCTAAAAGCGACGTAAACCTAAACTCACTCACTCACTCATTGAGGACATCTAATAGCAGTGTCATTGACCTGGAAGTAGGTTTGAAAGTATCTGTCTAATATTTTACTGTATGCCAATGGTAACTGTTAATGGTTTAATATTTATCATGACACTGATATGAATGTGGAAACTATTGAGAAAGATACCGCCATTATTTTCCAGACTGATCAATCTTCTAACTGTTCTGTTGTATGCCCAAAACACTTGGTAGGATAGAAAGGGTACCAATAGGTTGGTAGGGGAGTAGTATTTTAATGCACATTGGGTTATAAAGTCTAACCTTCAGTTCCTTGGCCAGTGCCAACTGCGTTATATCTTTGATTGGGTGTTATTTGTCAAACTGTTTAAAGAAAGAAACAAAGATATGTGTAATACAGTTTAGAATTTAGACACCGGTTGTGCACAGCATCAATATTAGTAGAACTAACAGGATACTTCCATTTGCAGTTATTGAAACTGATGGGCACTTGTATTTTCCTATCCAATTTGTATTATTTTGTTTTCCTTTCTTCCATGGATATAGGCGGAGCACCATCAATGTTGAGTTTCCACGTCATCATTGTGTTCAGTGTGACATGTCACTCCTTTTTTCTCACACATTTTATTTTACATTGAGGTAGGTGGAACAGGCATACTGTTTCCCACTGTGGCGCTGACTGGCAGCAGCACCACCCAACATGGCCGCTGTGTTTGTATTGGCATAGGAACACTGAAATCTGGACTCAGAGAAATAAACCTTTAAGGAGTCAATTTTTTATGGAGATTAGTTAATGTGACCTTGGAGTATACAAGAGTAATACTAGATCCTAGAAAGGTGGTTCTGGAATTCTGTCACAGTTTAAACCTTTGTAAACAATAAGTAAAACGTCGAAGTAAATTTGATGTCTTAATGAACTGATTTTGTAATATTTATTGACCGTTCTTATTCATTAACACCAAAACTTTATGTGAATCACAGTTTGTCTGAATAATATATTTTTTCTTGTGGACGAGAGATATAGAGATATATAAACTATTGGTAACTTGATGTAAATCAGAAACAGTTTGAATATATAATGTACTTTTTGAGTCTATGAGTAAGCCAATCTTCAGATAAGAGATATTTTGGTATTATTCTTCAAGCTAACAATACATTACATTCCATTCAGTCTTGAACAAATAATTAATCAGCAGTCAACATCATATCTATATTGACTTTTTAACAAATAACAGTTATGACAAATATATCTTTTGTAATCAGTTACCTCATCATATATTCTATATGTGATATATCTCATTTATCACATACAGTGCAATACAGTAAAATGTCATTGATAGTGTGACACACAGTGAATTAGTACCAGATGTGCCAGATGGTACTTCAGTACTACATGCAATCCGTTATGCAAGACAAACTCATGCCGCTAGTTGGGTGCCGGCAGCCATGGCAGTCAGCGTTGCGGTGCAGGGAATCAAAGTATGCGTCCGAGTTAGTGTGTATATGTGCATGCTGATCCACCAATGCATTTTGTTTTCCATTAATCAGGCACGGTATATATATTGAACCGTGACGGGGCCCATGGTATGTAATCTTATCTCTATCTGCCCTGCTCTCCCTCCTGTTCAAATCCTTCAAAACTCTCTGAAATAAACAATGAATAATTTGACAATTGTTGAAAAATTACATGGAATGTAAATTTAGATGCTTTGCGAGGGCTTAATTCATGTGTATGTTGAGGACTGGACAGGTTAAGTTAGAGTTTTGTGGGCACTGAAGTCGTGTGCCTATAGTTATCACAGATGTCCTGTGACCGTGCAACAATGACAGTCAGCACAGCAAATGATGGTATATTACTCGGTAAACAAGAAGCAGGTAGAAACACAAGTTTTTCTCTTAAAACATAAAAGAAAGGGAGCCAATAACCACCTGACCATGATTAAATTAAGTGAAGCTACATGGCGCCCCCCTCATGCCATGACAGTCTGTGGTGTTATTTCTCTGCATACTTGATACAATGGAAACCAGCTGTAAATGTAGTATATATTATAGAAAGAATGAAATTTAATTATTTGAAAGAATGTTTCCTATGTCTTATGCAAGTTAAACCTGAACAGGGGCGGTGGGGTAGCCTAATGGTTAAAGCGTTGGCTCGTCACGCCGAAAACCCGGTTTCAAATCCCCACATGGGTACAATGTGTGAAGCCCATATCTTGTGTCCCCCGCCGTGATGTTGCTGGAATATTGCTAAAAGCGGCGTAAAACCAAACTCAGTCAGTTAAACCTGAACAAGTGATTTAATATGAAATTTTCACATCCTGCTGTTCATAACAACAGCTTTTATCCATTTTAAGGTTTCAAAAAACACTGTTATGATTTAAGAAATGTTCAAATCAAAAGTCGTTGCATGTGAATTGTTATGGTAGAAACATCATTTTGGACAATGTTATCCTTTGTGGGCAATCATGGGTTAGCCTGGACCCTAGAATCCAGTGCTTATCTAATAGCAAAGGTGTAAGGGTGAAGTGGTCACCATGATGATAGCGTCATTGTACCTCAGTGGATAGTTTCCCTATGTAGGTCTGGGTTGGAATCAGTCTTCAGCAATCCATGCTTGAATCAGGAGGTGATTCACAAGATTGGATGGTTTGGCTTGCTGACTTGGTTGATGCATGTCATCTTATCCCAATTGTGTAGATAGGTGCTCATGATGTCTGTCAATGGATTATTGAGTACTACAATCAATTATTCAGGGACTACATATTACTGATGGCAGTATTAAACAAAAAAACAGTTGATAGTTTTTCTTACTCAGATTAATTTTTGACAGGCTGTCATTATACAGCTGAACCATTGCTGACTTCACCAAAATACTTAGTTCACTGCACATTGTGCTGCTTCTGGTTACACAAAGAATTACACTTCAGGGAAGAGGAGAAGAAATGATCTTCAGTTCAAAAGTAAATAATTCGATAAAACTTTTGAAATACAGTTCCCAGATCAAAACACTTCAATAACTAATGGTATCTGTGGATGTTGTGAAGCAAACAGAGACAGTTCTTTTAGTACATCATGCTTTAGCTGGGTAGAGGTGTATTTCAACAATTGTCAGCACCCTGGTAGCCTGTTCCCTCGTTGACGGCTGGAGAAGCTTCAGCAGTATACTACCATGATGTTTGCCCCACTCCCTTGGGCTTAAGAGTTTTGTCATAGTCCTTGCATGCTGAAATAACATGTGTTCAGTCAAAATGTTTAACATTTTTATTGGTGTATTAAATTATATTGAACTTGCATCATTTAAAATAATACCATTACATTTCGAGCGTTATTGGACCTCAACTTTGTCATACAAATGAAGTAGCTTCAGTGTCACTGAGAAGGTCCTGTATAAACTTGTACCCTGAAACTGGGTTGATGCTGGTTTAATACAACTGCAGTTCAAGCTCTGGTCTGTTAATGGGCATATTTGTTCACAATTTGCCTGTTTAAACCAAAACAATAAGTGATGATGACTCAGCCAACATGGCCAGAGCCCAATACTGAAGCATGATCTTGCTGGGTGTGACAAGCTACTTGCAGACCTCTTGTGTCTGGTGCAGCATTAGTCACCACTAGCTGCTCTGGTTGTAGTATACACTGCAGACCTCTTGTGTCTGGTGCAGCATTAGTCACCACTAGCTGCTCTGGTTGTAGTATACACTGCAGACCTCTTGTGTCTGGTGCAGCATTAGTCACCACTAGCTGCTCTGGTTGTAGTATACACTGCAGACCTCTTGTGTCTGGTGCAGCATTAGTCACCACTAGCTGCTCTGGTTGTAGTATACACTGCAGACCTCTTGTGTCTGGTGCAGCATTAGTCACCACCAGCTGCTCTGGTTGTAGTATACACTGCAGACCTCTTGTGCCTGGTGCAGCATTAGTCACCACTAGCTGCTCTGGTTGTAGTATACACTGCAGACCTCTTGTGCCTGGTGCAGCATTAGTCACCACTAGCTGCTCTGGTTGTAGTATACACTGCAGACCTCTTGTGTCTGGTGCAGCATTAGTCACCACTAGCTGCTCTGGTTGTAGTATACACTGCAGACCTCTTGTGTCTGGTGCAGCATTAGTCACCACTAGCTGCTCTGGTTGTAGTATACACTGCAGACCTCTTGTGTCTGGTGCAGCATTAGTCACCACTAGCTGCTCTGGTTGTAGTATACACTGCAGACCTCTTGTGTCTGGTGCAGCATTAGTCACCACCAGCTGCTCTGGTTGTAGTATACACTGCAGACCTCTTGTGTCTGGTGCAGCATTAGTCACCACCAGCTGCTCTGGTTGTAGTATACACTGCAGACCTCTTGTGTCTGGTGCAGCATTAGTCACCACTAGCTGCTCTGGTTGTAGTATACACTGCAGACCTCTTGTGTCTGCAGACCACCACTCTTTGTGTCTGGTGTCTGGTGCAGCATTAGTCACCACCAGCTGCTCTGGTTGTAGTATACACTGCAGACCTCTTGTGTGTGCTGGTGCAGCATTAGTCACCACTGCAGCTGCTCTGGTTGTAGTATACAGACTGCAGACCTCTTGTGTCTGGTGCTGGTGCAGCATTAGTCACCACCAGCTGCTCTGGTTGTAGTATACACTGCAGACCTCTTGTGTCTGGTGCAGCATTAGTCACCACCAGCTGCTCTGGTTGTAGTATACACTGCAGACCTCTTGTGTCTGGTGCAGCATTAGTCACCACCAGCTGCTCTGGTTGTAGTATACACTGCAGACCTCTTGTGTCTGGTGCAGCATTAGTCACCACTAGCTGCTCTGGTTGTAGTATACACTGCAGACCTCTTGTGTCTGGTGCAGCATTAGTCACCACCAGCTGCTGGTTGTAGCACACTGCAGACCTAGCATTAGTCACCACTAGCTGCTCTGGTTGTAGTATACACTGCAGACCTCTTGTGTCTGGTGCAGCATTAGTCACCACTAGCTGCTCTGGTTGTAGCATGCACTGCAGCATTAAACGTTCTATCTCTCACTAGCTGAACTATTTCATCTACACATCTAATGCAATACATACATACATTGTTGGCATCTCATCTCTGCAGCATTAAATGTTCGCATCTCATCTTAGTATAAGATCAAATGCACACTTTTGTCCCACCACTTTGGATGACCATTATCCATGATATATTCTCGTTTACATTCGATGAAAATGATCATGATTATCTGGAGCAAGTTGCATGTGTAGTTTAGGTTAACGGTCTGCAGGAATGTGACTGGGTATGAACTGACTGCCTGTAAACCTAACTCCTAAATATGATCTCCATGATTGTGAAATTACCATGATATATGTTCCAGCAAGAGACAAATAAATTCTAAAATGCAACACCCAAATTCTTTTTATTATCAATTAACTGGGCATGATGTCTGATTCCTGGGTTAGAATCTCAGCAACCTATCACTGATGGTGAGAGGAGACTAATTTGAATGTGATGGTTCTGGTGATATGACTGGCGGTGTGTAATGACACCCTAATGGCATGGACCTGTGGTGGTGCTGTCCTGACAATCTGGGGTGTTTACAGGCTGCCTACACATAGCTGGAATATTGTTGACTACAGCTTTAACACCATTCAATAGTCAGTTAGGATAATTCTAAGAGGTTCCTACTTGTAGTGTCAAAGTGACATTATTATTTGCATGAAGTTTTCCTCAAAATCAAATACCTTGTCACTTAAATTGTGAACTGATCTGTGTCATACTGGTAGATAGCAGGTTGATTGTTGGAACATCTATGATGGAGGATATGCAATATCTTCTAATGCATGGCTTTGTTTTCAGCAAAACCAAAATTCCTTTCACAGATTTCACATCCTATTTTCAGATTGTTCTTACAGGTGTTACTTTTTGGGTCCATAGGCTATACTTGGACCATTTGTGATATATGTGTTTACCTTATTGCACACAACTAAATTGTACATATTCTATACTTCTTCTTAAGTTTGTTGAACATCAGTAAATACAAGCAAGTTCAAATTATTATATAATTTTGTGTAATGTACATGTTTAATTGCAGTTATTTTATAATGTGAATAGTATTTTAATATTGAATGAATGCTGAAATTTCATTTTGTTTTTATTCATTGTATGCCACATGACCAGTACTGACCACAACATCTGTACCAATTGCAGGTCCCACTACAGCAGGGGTGCAGATTCTTCACATAGCCATAGGAACATCCATATCTTCATTTTTCTGCATTATCCTTTTAATATGTGGATTTTACCACCGACGGAAATTTCGCTCAGAAAGGACTCCTCCTGATCATGATCATGTAGAAGTAAGATATGTGTCTGCTCCCACAGGCTGCAACACAACAGACAGACTCCTAATGGAGGAGAAGACTCAAGAGAGTCCACGGTGTCAGAAGGTCTCTATGGTATGATGGAGGCTTGTTCTAGTGTATATAGGATTCAAATTATATGTTAAACACAGGCAGCAAGCAATTAAGTACAACTGGGCACCACCGCTTCTGTGTAAGAGTTGGCGTATGTTTGGAGTATACTTGTGCAGTACCATTGCAGTATACTTGGAGTCCCCTTTGTGCACATCAGCAGTATACTTGGAGTACACAGTATTCTGAAGTCATAACCGTGGGGCAACTAAAGCTTTGTGTGGCATGCTGTCGAAAGTCTTCAAAGAAGCGACATGCCATATCTGAAGAAGTAATCAAGGGAGAACTAGATGTCACCTTCTGAGGGAGAAGGATGTGTTTCTGATTGAAGAGCTCATATTACCTTTTGAAGTCCAATGTATTGAGTTAAACATGAAAGAACATCAGAAAACTTTCATTAAAATGTGTACAGATTAGAATAGAGTGCTTGTAGAATACTGGAGATTTTTTTATTCATACAAAGGACAGTACCATTTTCTTTCCACTATCCCAAGTACTTAATTTGCACTGTACTATGTCCAGCCTGTATTTGAATGGTTCCATGTGTAATGTCTGCAACATCAGGAACATTATCCTACACTCAATACATTATCACAACCACATTGGCTGTGGTGTTTCAAGCAAACCCTCAGATAAGTTGACATTGCTTAGCTTCACATAGTTCATTATGATCTCAGCTTCTTCAACATGGAGTGAACATCCTTATACTTTGAAATGGACCTGGACATTTTATATACATGTTCATGTCCTCTATTGCATTCATTGGTACTCCACTTTATGACAGACCCTCTTGACTCTGAGACACATATTAGTCTGAGTATTTATGATGGATGACTTGAATGGATGTGTATTCTATTGAAATGCATCTTCTTGTTTAATACTGGATGAAGCCCTCTGTGTTAACCTGTGTACCAGCGATAAATGACCTGTATACCAGCCCTTGGTCCACCTAACCAACCTCATGATGACAAGCACATGATCTACTCCTGAGAGAGAGAGATCTACTCCTGAGGAATGAAGTCTATACGTTTGTCATTGTACTCAACTTCCCTAACATCAACTGTTCAGAACATCTCCAGAACAACTGTTTACATGCTTCATACTGTGCATATTGACATTCAGACATCAGGGCATATTTTGTGTACTTGCAACAGAAGTATGTCTGAGATGTTTTACAAACTTCAGCCAAAGGAAGATGACGACATCAGCCAACCTTCAAATGGCAGTACCACATGACTGAAATAACTACATGTTTGATCTTGAAATGTAACTTGGTGAAAGATCTTTCAAAAGAGGTATGTATAGAAATGTTCCCCTGCAAGATGGTTGGTACCAAACAGTTACCTCATGTACAAGCTGAGAATCTGTGTACATACATCAAGTCTTACCTCCATGACACCCGAGTCCAGACTTTTAACCTTCTGTTACTGTACTTCCTGTGGTGGTTGAGTTCCGACAACAAATGATTCAGATGCTTACATTATATGCCTGGCAATGAACAGGATAAAGTTTATTGTGTTTTGAATATTTTCTGTGTACAGTTCGAAATGTACAGAAGAAATGTGTACAGTAAAAATATTCATACTATTGCACTGGACAGTTTTAGTTGATCGTCGATGTCCAAGTGTACAGACATTTTATCGTGCATGCATATGTGTAAGAGGAATCCAGTGTTTGGAGTTTGTGGCTAGAACAGAGCATGGTAATGTATGTGCAGATGTGTAGAAATATGTTTGGTATCTACATTAACAATACACAGGGAACAGTATTATTGTTGTGCTGTCAGAGTACAGGTACGACAGGTTTAGTTGATCATGGCCATTCTACACAGGTAGTGCCCAGGAGACACGGAGGAACGAGTAAACCCATCCTGATGTATGTATGGCTGTTGTGTGTGTGTGTGTGTAACGCCCTATTACATGGATTACCTGACCTGTGTATGGCTGTCACGTGCTGTCCGGCCATTGGCTGAATCTGCTCATGAATTGTCTAACCCGTGTATGGCTGTCACGTGCTGTCCGGCCATTGGCTGAAGCTTCTCATGAATTGTCTAACTCGTGTATGGCTGTCACGTGCTGTCCGGCCATTGGCTGAAGCTGCTCATGAATTGTCTAACCTGTGTATGGCCATGACATGCTGTTTTGGCCACTTGCTGCATCATGAATTGCCTGCTGTATGTTGTGATCATGGATTGTACGGAGGAGTCCTGGGCATACAACTGTCGATATTTCAGCTGTATAATGGTGGCATGCTCAATATTAGAAAACCACAAGAAACAGCAGTAAAGAAACGTGTGGTAGGATCAGTGTGCTGCGTCGTACCGAGGATGATTCAGAAATCATCAATGAGGAATGGATAGACTCATATGCACAACAAGCTCACACCTGTCTGTGCCATACATGTATTCATTCAGAGGCTGAGGATATATTGAGACTGATATGATAGAGAAAGCATGTGCATCATGTCTGTTGTTATAATTGTGTATAGGTGTATAATATGCTTACAGTTGTTGCTTCTGATTGTTTTACTTGATTCATAATGCTGTATGTATTTTCATGTCAATGCCAGATGGAACAACATACTGTCTGGCAATAACCACTTATCTCGTCTTACCAAAGCAATGAAAGGTACAAGTGACTGATTGATTGTATGTTTATCCTTGTTCTGCTTTAAATTACCAACACTTGGTACTTGTAATAATAGTATCTCCTTTTTCTTTGTTGCTCCACTTGGCAACCTATATTATGATTGTTCCAGAATGACAAAATGACCCCAACCTAAGGACATGTGGATGCAAACAGATTATTCAGTTATTGTGGCCCGACAAAAGAAACGATATGATATATGATTGCTGTGAGAGTTGTCTACCTTTAATTACTTATACAGCTGATATCTGTTCATACTTTGTTTCTTCCAAACACAGATTGTTTTGTTCCTCCAGAATTTAAACTACAAGGTTGGAAGAGAGAATAGTGGTATTCAACACAAAGGTTTTCGCAAGCATTGTAGTGATATTATGTGGGTATATGAATTGGATTATTACAGTCTCGTCTGAGCTACATTCTTCATGTCAGTCATGTTCTAAGAGAATCAGTAGCAAAATATTCCATCCGAAACATGGCATTACTTGCTTAAACCCTGTAAATAAATCTTGTATATTTGTGCAGATATATGAAAATACTTCTAAAGAAAACAGTTTTATGTATATGGGTTGTACTTAGTGAGGTCAAGTGAACTATTTCTGTATTAATTTCATGCACAGCTGTGTTCTATTTTCTAGATGTTTTCATTACATTAATTTGGTTATGAGACAAGAAAATGAACGTTACATTCTGTTGCCAGTGGATGTAGAAACTGACATGGAAGAAAATGGATGTTGCAGATTCAAAGACAGTGAATATGTAATATGTAGATGTTTGGCATGTGTCAGCAAATGGCACTAGTGTCTGAGAACCTGTAGGTAAAGTATTCCTGAGTGGAGGCTATATGAAGTTGATACACACTTTACATGACTGTCTGGACGTTCTCCTTAACTGTGATCAGCTGACTCCAGTATGATCAGCTGTGATATTGATCATTGTGTCCACATTTTTGTGTTGATTCAAATGTCCCCTTTTCATGTGTACAGAAAATGTGTACAGACATGTACAGTTGAACCATTATGTGTACAAAGGAGTGTACATGCTTTACAATGAATTGAAATATTTCAGAACAGGAAAATGGTTGTATGTTTCTCCAGCTGTGTCATATTTATGTTTCAGTATGAGTGCATGTCAAGTAAGATGCATCATATTTCACCCCAAGTCTTCTAGCTTCACCTCACACAAACGTCCTTGTCATTAACAAGAAGCATCACGTCCTGCACTTTGTAACAGATACATCATCATGCATTTTAGAATTCATCAGAATAAAATGAAAGCGCACATATTGCATCATTGTGAACAAACACTACAGTGCACAAGTCTGATTTAAAGCACAAGTAAAATGGATTTTTTATTGTATTACAAGCATATTGTTTATGTGTATTGGCATTGAGGTACCCCACACAACAGAAGGCCACACTTTCACTTCTTTATTGGCTGTAGATTTGGTATGAATGGCTGTGACACCCTTACCAAATTTATGGATTTGATTTCTATTTGACAAAAATATTGTTCCTTGAATGTGTTGTTATATGAATTCATATAGGGACATATATCCTGGGGGTAATAAACTTCTTTTTAAACTTGTTTTATCATTGAACATTTTGGATGAACTATGAAGCTAAACAATGTGTCATGTGGCATTATCTATGTACAAATATATATTACAAATGGACAGATGCATCACTTACTAGTACATTAATTACAAATGTGTAGATATATATCCAACACAAATTACACATGTATGAATGGTTATATAAATCAGGTATGTTGTAGTAGCAAAGACATGAATGTGTATTACACAAATACTGTACAGAACACACAAACATACATACATGGCCATACACTGGGATGTGGTCAAGCATTCTAGTAGTGTGTGATTTTAATGAATGTATTAGTCTGCATACTTCCTGCACGTTTGATTTCAAACCATTTAATTCACAGTCATTCTTATTTCAATGTCAAAGAAATCTGACATGAATATTTATTGTGTGAGATGATTATTGTAGGTAATGTCTAAACATTGTGACATTGAAAGGTATTGCTTTACAGTTGTTGAATTTCCATATGAAAAACAGAGCAGAGATATTTCCATTATTTGTGTCTACAGAAGTAACATAAATGATCTAAAATAGTTTGTTTCCTCAGTTTGTGTTGCCTGTATATAGGACTGTGGGGTTGAGTGACTTATGGCTCCTAATCTGTTTGTAACAGTGTCATTACCCTGTAGAAAAGTGTAGTGGCCCTTTATAGCAATATCATTCATGTTACTTTGTACACTATGCATGTACATCTCCATAGGCTTGATAAGGTGGGTCACTATTACATTGACATTAACAGTGTAGGTAAGGGGTGTTGAGAACATACGTAAACCACCAGGGAACATGAACACTGGGATGTGGTAGTTGGAAGAATTCAGCATGTCATCTTAGTATTTGGAACACATTGAACAGAAAAACACTTAGCCATATGTGTAGAAAAAGCACCCTTTTCTAAAGCTCTCATCTTGTATGTGTGTATGAAGTTATAAACTTGGTACTGTGACAACAGAACTAACAGCTTGCTTTAATGACCAACTGCTTGGATGTCCATGTGCTTCCTGCATGTCTTTTACATCATGGTGTAGAAATCCTCATTGAAGACTTATTCACAGCTTAATGGTCCAACTGTATGGTGTGTCACTCAAAGTAAGTAAAGGAGCAGTTCAAGTGTTGGATTTATAATCTTAATTCCTATCAAATTGACTTTTCAGGGTCTTCTGTGAAACAACACCAGTTGAAAATAGTATATGTTTACTAATGTTTTTATTATAGGGGAAAAGATTAAGTGTTTCAGTGGTTGTTGCCTAGTGTAGATATAGCTTGGCAACATTCGTTGTACAGTACTATGGGTAATGCACAGGTGTGTTTTTTCTGTCTGTAAGGTTCCAGGAGAGGTGGTGTCACAGAACTGATGGAATAAAGTTTGTCATCCATTGTCCAACGTTTGAACTGCCTCCTTTCTTATTGTAATCTTACTTAGTGTCATTATGAAATATTGAGAGTGTTGTCCCAGCTGCTTATATGAACATATGACACTCAGGAATAACATTACTACTTGCTGTCACTGTGTTCTGACATGAACTAACAGTCAGTCTCATACATAAACTCATATGTTATCATGAATACATTAGTATGTCTTGACTCAACATTTTGCTTTTATTAAATCATTTGAATTTATTGATATATTCCTAGCACAAGCTATTGCTCATTCACAGAGATTAACTATCACTTTTTATGAAATCATTTTTATAACAAAGTACAACTTTTTAATGATACATATGTGTTTGCTTCATGAAATTGATTGCCCAGTGAATAGTTAGCCTGCAGATTGTGAGGTCCGATTCTGTGTTTCCTGTGAGGAATACACAGTTATGTGAACACTGTTCTTGTAGATGATGTGTGTCCTGGCTAATCATTCTCGTAGCCAGTTCTTTTATGTCCTATGAAGTCCAGGTGACTGACTTTCATCCTGTTGATTTACCTGACAGATTAGCCTGTGTTCCGTTACTGAATGAGCTGGTGATGACAACAATGTGTAGAGGGTAGCCATGACACCTACATGATGTCATGCTTTATCTGGTCAACTCTGATCAACAACCTAGTTTATCATGCAATTCTTTTCTTAAACTTTATTCCTAGATTTACACATTTGCTAAAACATATTATCCTATACTGAACATTTTAAAAATAACTTTTAATAGTTTAATCTAAATAATACTCACAGAGTGAGTTCATCCCAAACATATCAGCAGCAAATTTTTGAAACTAATAGTGTATAAATCTGGTTGTTTCCTTAACAAGGGAGACAATCCTGACAGCTCAGATCTTTACCTTGACACAATGTCTTGTAGACATAGAACATGGAGTGATGGTGACTGTTAGGGAGAGTTTAGATGATGGCTCAAGTATAAGAATGTGGAAGCCTTAACATGTTTCACTGAATATTAGATCCATTAATCACTTTGTTTACATCTGGGGGTGTCTTTAACAATTCCCTTGATTTATACAGCATGAAAATAGATCTGTTTCGTGCAGCTGAAAAATCGTATCAGTTTACTCTTGTGACGGATTGATTTTGATAAACATTTGAGCATATACTAGACCCATGTACATGTTTGTGTTGTACACTAGACTGACTACCTATCGTTTTGTTGGTGTTTCCACATTTGTACATTGTAGATTACTGTTTGGAGCAACGAGATGAGCTGTGTATAGAGTGTGAATGTTGAATGAATGGTTACAGGTGATTGTTTATTAACATATGACTAATATGTAAAATAAATTTATAAATATTTGCAATCAGTTGGTTTGTTGTGATGTTTTACAGGAGCCAGGATGGGGAAATGAGTGGACAGCTTCTCATAAACCTTGGAGTATAACAATATATTAGTTTGGTCCTGAAAACAAAACACTACTTGTTACAGAAAACATAGCATGATTTGTTCCATATTTGGTTACAAGAAATACTTTGCACTGTGTTTTTACTCCATTTACATTGGACCGCCTCCGTGGTGTAGTGGTTAGAGCGTCCGCCCGGAGTGCGGAAGGTCGCGGGTTCGATCCCCGACCGCGTCATACCAAAAGACGTTAAAATATGGTACTTGTTGGTCCCTGCCTGGCGCTCGGCATTAATGGGTACAACAAGGACTGGTTGGCTCGGAGTCAGTATAATGTGTCTGAGTGGGGTATTCATGCTTCACTGCGGCATGGTATCTCAGTGGGCTAGCACTATAAAACCAGCTTCAGTCTGGGCTAGTACAAGCAGCCGCACATACACATACACACGCATGCACGTCGTCATATGAGGGAAATATTCTCAAGCACGACTTTAAACCCAATTCCACCACCACCACTCCATTTACATTGTTTTGTTGGCATGCTGGATATTGTAAAACAAAACATGTATAGCTCCACCTTACACAGACACATTGTGTGTATTTTGAAGCAGTGACCATAGATAGGTATCCAAACCCTAACAAAAATTGCTGCCCCATTGAAGGCAAAATACATCCCCAGTACATTCCACTTGCTGTGACCAAACTCTGAGATATTGGTAGAATATAGCTGAAAGCATTTGCTCACGCTCAATTCACTGTTGCAACTCTGGTCAGGCAAATACAGTCAGATCACATTTGATAGTTACAAACCAATCCCTAGATTTGCATTATGCCAATATTTTGTTGATTACTCATGCCAAATCACAATAACTTGTATCTGAGTCTCTCAAGTGGTCCTGTAGGTTATGGAGTGGGTCCAGACATACACTTCAACAAAAGGACAATACAGCCCTCCTCCCAACATTTATTGGAGTCAAATCTGTAATTCCACACGTCCACTGGTGAGGTGCACATGATCTACATTGGCAGCAACCTCATCTGTTTGGCATGGATATAGCAGTAATTACAGAAATTCAAATACAAATTGTAAAACAAATGTGTGGTCATATATTCCCACGCACTCCACTTTCAAACAAATATTAGTACTTACTTCAGTGAAATAACTAATTAGTACTTGATTGCAAATAATTCAAAAACACACACAATCATACACATGGAGACTATGAAGTAACAGTTCCCCGAGCTTACATCAAATTGTGTTTATTTTCTTTTGTTAATTGGGAATTTAGTAATCAACGTGATAGGCTGCAGTTACCTCCCTTGCATTACTCCCAATGGATTTAAAGGGGTTATATTTTTAAAAGGGATTTTACGAACGGTTCACCTTCATTTCCAAACTGAAAGTCCTTGCTTGTAAGCGGATAACGAAATGTCATGTTTTTTAAATGTAATTGTTGTTTTTGATTGTCTATGTACCCCAAACTGCCAGAGATTATCTGACTATTCTGTCTGATACTGCTGATGCTTCATTGTTATTGACTGTCAAAACGAAGCACTCGGGATTGATTCCAAACAAGTGTTATTTTTTGTGACGAAAGACCGTGAAACGGGTTGGAACAATACTAAACGTGGTGCACAATTCTAATCACTTGTATTTTGCGTTATATTTTAGTAGACGTTATTCCCTTTGGCTGACTCTTGGTACCACCATGACTGTGATGGTGGTTACATGATGGTAACTCTCTTGCTGGTTTGAAGGTGTGATGCGCTGTTTTCTCAAGTAGTAACCACGAGTCACGACTGAATCAATTCAAAATCGACATGTAAAGTAACTGTGAAGGCAATCGATACAGTGTTAAACTGTTTAAAACCATAAATATTCGTGATATAACAGCGTTTCATTCATACAGATTCAAGGTCAACATGACTTCTCTGCTAACGTAGCGTCTAAGCACGCAACACCTATACATAATTAATGTTAAGACGTTCATTATACATATCATTACCAAGTGCGTGCGTCAATCTCGCCTCGATATGCACACCACCTTTACCAAAATACGTTATCGCATAATCTTCCTCCACACAATGAGAGTAAAAAGCTCTCGTAGTTAACAATTTATTACTCGCACGGTTCGGGGGAGAATAAAGGCTACGTTCATTGATGGGAGTAGTCTTGTGTAGAGATAGATACACCGAGAGTCTGTCGGTGGAGAATTGATGTGCTAGAACCTGTAAATACCATTACGATGCCAAGCTAAACACTGTTGCAGGCAGTACACGTGCTTTAGGCGTATTTGGTACGGTTCGCAGTTGAAAGGAAGGTTCTGCATTCTCCAGATGGTTCTGTTTAAGGGATTGTCCGAATTTGATAAAACTTAACACACTCACTCACTCGAGGAAACAAATGTTTGTTGAACAGTGTTTAAGTCATAACATCTTGTATAAATGCACCTCGATATTCCCATCAAAATCAGACCTTTATTTAATTCACAAAAGTGTATACATTTGAAACGAACTATGTCGACCTTCTTCAAGATATTCCTTTCTTCCCAAGGAAGCTACTGACTCTAAATGTATACTCTTTCAGCTGACTTAGCTCCGTTTGCCTAGGGAAGATGATATATCCCAGACAATGCTCCTTTTCAAATTTTGAATAGAGAACTTCCAAATACATTTGTATTTCCCAAAGCCTAGTCTGGAATTGTAGCCGCCATTTTAAAGCTAGTGCCGCAAAGTTCGATGGTAGTACTAGTGTTTGCTGATTGGCTAACGTCGATGTGAGGTTACTCATTTCATTTGTAGGCAAGGTCGTTCTGGCGTGACCTGTAAGGGCAAGAAGACCATATGTATTTTTGTAGTAGTAGCGAGCACTAAAACCTGATATTATTGTGACTGCGCATGTCGCTAAACAAACCATTAAACGAGTAAACAGTATACAGTCTCCCTTCTTTTATTCCAAAACGCCGACATTTACGTGGTGAAACACCTGCTTAGCGGCTTTATCTAAAGTGTCCATGATAATACTGATCCTGTTAGACTCTCCAGATGGGTACAGTGTGTGAAGCACTGTGTACTGGTGTTCTGTGGCTGGCATATTGCTAACAGTGTGCTGTAACCACATTTACAACAGGTATATTGTAGAAACTAATTATTTGTAAATACAATAATATCTGAACGATTGACCGTGTGTTGCTGAACCGTATTTTCACTATTGTTGCTGGGGCAGTTTTCGGTTTTCTAGATGTGGCAATAAATATGAAATTCGGGCGTATCCTAAATCTAAAACAAATAGATAAATTTTATGCAATCCGCAATGTTTTGCTTCTTTTAGAAAATGACATTTGTGAACGAATATGATCTGGTTGTTAAGCTGAATACCTTCGACATGCCTATTGTCCTTACTTACGTTTATCACAGTGCTTGGCAAAAACAATGCTCCGGCGCAAATCTCTGCCAAACTATCTTTACGATATTCTTAACCGATCCTATCTTTGAGGCACGGCATTATCTAGCAGATATCCATTTGGTTCCCATGGGTGAAACAAATACACCTACATCTTGGGTCAGAACGCGCCCCCTCCCGGTTTCCACTACCCCCACGCTGAATCACCTTGGGAAAGAAGATCTAGGCACTCGATGGCTCTAAATCCATGTGGCCTGCCAAAATTAGAGGAGGGGCAAAGACGGTAACCGGGCAAGTCCATTTTTAAAAGTAGGGATGGAAGGTAGATGCCAAACTTTGGCTTGTTGTTGCGTCGTAATATCACTATGTCATATATACTAAAGCATGCACGGTGGTATACAAACCCATTAAACAAAATGTAATTTTCAGAAATATGATTCTTTCATTCACAATAACACTACTGCAATGTTATCCACCCCCCTGCCGTGAAGTTGACCGCTCTAGCAGCACGGTGCCATTCTTTTATCTGACCGGTGCTGTGAGAGGTTTCTCTGAATCTCCCATACTACTAGCTGCCGCCTTGTAGATAGAATACCTTGTCAACATGGGACCCAAGGTACGTAGCTATGTTTCACTATTTATCCACGTCTTGTGGTGTTACTGGGTGTCTTGTTGAATGTTTTTCATATTTAACAGTTGCACTGAAAAATGATTTATAAAATTATGTGTTTGTATATGTTGCACTTTTAAAGGGGACGTCAAACTTTCTCGGTTTACCATTTTCACAATTTCATTCTTTGAAAATAGTGTATCTCTGTTGCGTCATGTTACTATGAATAGCATACCTGAAAAGTTATGTTTTCAGTTTTACGGTCTTATCTTAATGAGATATGTAAACTGATATTTCCCCTCTAAGACGATTATGATAAATAGGCATGGAAAATAGATATGTTGCTAGGTTACCATTAAGCTTATCGTTCAAGTTTGGCCCCCTGCACAAACTTGGTTCAGGATAAACCCCATAATTATCACTTTCTTAACACACGCGTCAAACCGGGCTTGAGCAATGGCTCCTGCCAACTGACAGTTATATATTTATATTCAGGGGTGTAGTCTTACTCTATTTACGTTATATGGCGTTATCAATGTAACTCTCTATTGCCACTGCCGAGACTCCCGAATCAGCATGTGTCTCGTTCAGTACACGCCAACTAACACAAGTCTGGGGGATAAACAAGTGAGAGCATAGCTCGTGATTCCATTTACATACTTCCACAGCGTGCATCATACCTCGATGCCAGGCACATCTTTTAGCTCACTAAATATCACATCAAGCATGTGAGCGTGTAAAAAACGTCGTGTGCAGGGTGTGACGTTACGATGCGTGGGAGACTGCCAGGGACGTACGCGTGTTGATGCCGTCAGCGTTACAGACATGCAGGGTTCACGTGTTGCAGTGTGTGCTTGTGGTTATGTAATTGTGTAAGTATTAGGAGGAATTGATGCGTATGTCAGCAGATTGTCAGATACCAACGCCCAACACTGCCCCGTGTTTCACCAGTTACCTCCCTTGATGTTATATATTAACGTGACATTTTGAAGGCTACGGGTGGGGTCTCAGTACTGACATTTGGATAATAAAACCCGTAGTCTTATAGAGTTGTAAACAGTTGGATCGTCGATATATACCAGGATAGTTTGGATAGTCTTAATACAGTCAGATGATACCGGTTTCGGGGATATTAGTAAGATGGTACGCCAGGGGCGGTTCCAGGGTTTTGGAGAAGGGAGGTGCACATAAATCATGAAATCGAAAGTTTAGGAGGAAATGCTCCTCACTGAATCCCCTTTTTTCTCTCTCTGGATCCGCCCCTGTACGGATATCAGAGATGGTGCAGTCAGAGGATTTGGATATCGGGGATGGTTACTTGGGCACGCCAGAAACGTATGATTGTGGGTTCGAAACCCGGTTTGCCCCTATTACGTTTGTTGGTTTGTCAGCACCATACCCGGGCTGGTGGGTTTCACCACAGGGGTACACGTATCAGACCTGCTTCACTTTGGACGTTCCTCTTACCCCTACTGATTGAACTTGAATACTGTTAAACACGGCGTTACACAAACTCACTCACTCATCTTCTCTCACTTTACCTTTTAAAGAAAGAACGATAGCGGATTCATAATCTTGCACGATGTCTGTTGCTGGTATTGAGTGATGATCCATAATCGCTGCGTGACTGCTATCGCGCTGAGTATTCACTCTATAACACCATCTGACGGACATATTTCACACTTCGTGAGTTTATGCCCATCTACCACTACTTGACATCTCGCAGCTGACCGGTGCCAATGACCTTGGCCACCGACACATTCCAACTGTCGAACAGCAGTTATCTCCCCTGTGATGGTATTTCCAGAACCATGAACTTGGGCGTGGAATGTTAACGTGATATTTATGGGCAGCAGATAAGTTAACGATGGACACAAGTGACCATTAGTCAAGTTAATGACCAGTTTATGCTGCAACTAGTGTTTGGGTTACCAACACAGGATGCTGATAGAGCGTATATAGACTCCTGTTGTTGAAATCATTTCATCTCTGGCAGGATGGAATCTGTATGTTTGTAGATTGAATTCCCGGGTGTTAAATGCCTGACTGACCAAGCTGGAACAGTCCAACAGACACAACTGTTTCTCTATGCCTGAAATACGACTCAGCGAACACATTCCAAAAGACTGAGTCCTGTCTACATGTACTTCCACCTCTATGGCTGCGGTGCCACTTTCCATTAGTCAGAGATACTAGCTAGCTAGTATAGAGTGACCACCCGATGACCATTCTGCTAATGTAGACTGACCAGACGTCTGGATAGAGTAGTCTTCGTTCAGAGTGTGTTGTATTCAAAGTTAAACATGTTTGTACACTTAAGAGACAACAAAACATGATAATGTAACGTACATAGGGTTTTTGGAAGCAATCACTGCGAACCACAACCAGACTTCACTGAACCTGGTGTAACGAGGGAACGCTCCAAGACCTACACTAGATATTACTTTACGATTAACACATCATTCATATAGGTGTATCAGCCCCCACACCTCCCTAACACACACATCAACCTCACCACCACCGGGGTGGTTCAAGAGGAGTTTCACCATCAACTATGAGGTAAGGGGATCGGGTGGTCAATAACTTTGTCATCGTATCCTCACGACAAGAAATGTTTCACAAGTCCTTAACCCATTCTATGTAGTCACTCCTCATTCGTAGAAGACCAACTAGAAAGGTCCCTTCACTGCCTGTACTGTGCAACATACACCGTCACTGTGGCTTCCCCAGTCCTTCATTCAGGACCAGTTACCATTAGTTCCAGTGTACACATTACACAGTATGAGCTAGTGCTATTAGCTTCGTATAATTATCTGTAATATATACACACTTAATTCTAGTCGTATTTATGTTTGCGGCTTTTAGGGTTAACAGACACCACGTGGCAGGAATGTAGCGTCTGGCGCACTAAGTACTGATAAGTGGGATAAGTAACTACCATCACCACTGCCTTGGCTGTTAATCACTCCTCTATTAATACTGCCACATCTTACACATAAACGTATATTATTGCTACTACTACTACTACTGTTACTACACCTGCTACATCTACTACTAGTGTTACTACACACCTGCTACAGCTACTACTACTGTTACTACACCTGTTACAGCTACTACTGTTACTGCTGCTACTACTACTGCTACACCTGCTACTACTACTGTTACTACACCTGCTACAGTTACTACTACTGTTACTACACCTGCTACAGCTACTACTACTGTTACTACACCTGCATCTACTACTACTGTTACTACACCTGCTACAGCTACTACTACTGTTACTACACCTGCTACAGCTACTACTACTGTTACTACACCTGCTACAGCTACTACTACTGTTACTACACCTGCTACAGCTACTACTGCTGCTCAACTACTGTTACTATGCTACAACTACTACTACCGTTACTACACCTGTTACTACTACTACTACTGTTACTACACCTGCTACTACTACTACTGTTACTACTGCTGCTACAGCTACTACTACTGCTACAGCTACTACAGCTACTACCACTACTACTACTACTACTACTTCTAATGCACTATTGCTGTTGTTACTGCTACTATTCTAAGTTGTTCTGCTACTGTTGCTATATAGACCACGAACACCAATGTCACTACCGCTGTGTCTACTGTTGCTATTACCACCGTGTTATGCTGACTGACAACTGACTGTATTATTATAATCACTGATATTATTACTAACAGCTGCCATCATATCGTTTTCTATGCTGCTGCTGCTGCTACTACTACTATTGCTGCTGCTGCTACTAAAACTACTGTGGCGGTGGGTAGCCTAGTGGTTAAAGCGTTAGCTCGTCAAGCCGAAGACCCGGGTTCGATTCCCCACATGGGTACAATGTGTGAAGCCCATTTTTGGTGTCCCCCGCCGTGATATTGCTGGAATACTGCTAAAAGCGGCGTAAAACCATACTCACTCACCCACTACTACAGCATCGAAGTCAGTAACCACACTGTTACTATAAATACAGATGCACAGAATCCCCCACTACACAACGTTTAACACAACACTCCGATGACACGCCACAGTTGCGTATAGAACTCAATACCTATACTAGTCGACAGCTACAACCCCTACACCCATCGCTACAACAGTCCCCGCTACTGAGATGTAACAAATCCACATCACACTTGCTTTCACCCGACAGACGGAGTCTGCTGTTGTAATCCGTTACCATGGCAACTAATGAGGCTCACAGTTGAAATATCAGATTCCAAAACGTGCAGTGGTGTTAAATTCTCTGGCATATTTGAACCATGTTCAACCTTCCTCCTAAAATTCCGTCTCCCTTTCAAGGCCGACGAGGTTGATTACCACAGATAACCCAGACAACTCGACTACCAGATCCAGCTGACTGAGCCAATTAGACAGAGCTAATCAGTTCATTAGTAGCCCGCGCATCGGTGCTGGAACACTTGTCGTCCATGTGTTGTGGAGTGTCGGAGTGACGGGGCTCTGTATTGTAGCGCTGTATCGTAACTAACTTCCATAGGTCGTTGTGATGTAGGTGGAATATCGCTGGTCTGTCTCACAGTCCCTCAACCACATTATGTCCCCTACTGCCTAGCCCTCCCTGCAATGCTGAAGCCCTAAATGTAGCAAGTCCAGATTCCCTCAAACACAGGACCTGAATGTCCCAACTCACTGGGGCTCCTTTTAATTCAAATGGGTTTATTTGTCACTATCATATATTCAGGGCCTAAGCGTTTGTCTAGAATATCGCTGATTCTGGCGTAAACTAAGAAACACACAGTCCTTTGGGTGCCATTTAGTCTGTCGTACAGACCCTGAAGCAAATATATCCAAGAAAGCCCACGCAAGTCTAGAAAATGTGGCAAGTCTAGATTTCCTCAGCTTCTGAAAATGAAGAAAGTCTCAGGGCTCCTTTTCATTATATATATATTTTTTTTACTATGAACTTTTTTCAGTAAAATATGTTCATTTCAGAGACTAGTTGTTAGTCTAGGTGCCATTTAGAAGT